AAAAAATGAGACAAATATTATAAATTATATTTTACTATAGACGAGTACGATAAAAGCTGTTTTTATAGAACATCGAAGCTGATATTGAGCCAGGATTCAACATTTATTATTGAGGCCCTTAGCGAAAATTTCACGAAATTCTTTTTACCGTACGTGACTAATGACTATCTTCTATGCAACGGGGTCAAAGACATTCCATATATACAGTTTTAAAAAAACGCTTTCATCATAGATTGTATTGATATTCGTTAATTACTTACTACAAATATCTATACATACAATAATTTTTTCTTCTAAACCTCATTAGAATGGAGTTTTATTAGTTTTGATTGTGATAACATATATTATACAATTATTACGATAATACGTATTATTACGATAATATAGTATTTGGTGATCCCCCTATTTTTTCGATTCGATGTTCGAACAGCCTTTTTGGTGCAGTCGGGTGATAATAAAACAAATACATACAAAATAAACTAAATCTTAAAATCGTATCTCTGTAAAAGATAATTGTGAGAACGATACCTATCAGTTTATCTGCGGATTAAGAGGCGACGTCATCCGTTCATTCAAACTCTTTGTTTTAAAGAATTTAATCAATATTAAAATCAAAATTTACATTGCAAAATGGCTTTTTGCTGCCGTGTTTCGAACGTGAATAATGACACATGAAATAAAAACGTATTTAAGGCCTGTAAATATATAAAAAATTTAAATAAACCAAGACTTTAATGCGGCATTTCCTTTTAGAAATTTGTTTATATACGGTAACCAACTTTTTTTGAAGCCATATTACAATTGGAATACTTCTAATAAAATAAAAATATTGAAAGTTTATGTGTATGTTTCTAAAATGGCTAGAAGAGCTTTAATAAAATCTATACGTACTAATAATAAAACTGTAACTAATCGCTGTCTGTACATGGAAGGTATTTGAGAAAAACTATTATTGAGGAGTGGGTATTATTAACGCAATAGAACCCATAACAATGTTTTTCAGATTTTTTTGTATGTTTGTGTTTGTCTATGCGTTTGTGCGCGTTAATCTTAGAAACGACTTAACCGATTTGAATGCGGTTTTCACTAATGTATTATGGTAAGCTTCACTTAACATTTAGTATTTGTATTACATATTTCAATCGGATCATAAAGAAAAAAGTTATGTCAATTTAATGAACACCTAGGGACGAACCCGAGCGAAGCGAGTGTAAGTAGCTAGTTTAGTATAAAGAGAGACTAAGATCTGTAGTAAGACATAAGCTACTATAAGTTACTTTTAAGTTTTAGCCGATTTAATATAACTCAATTTGGAAAAATAAAAGGTAAAAGTAATTGCGCAATACAAATATTAGTCATCAATAACATAGACAAGAATATATCTTTTTTCCTGCAACTATTTAGATAAACAAAATTTACATAACAAGATCACATAAAGTGAAGGACGATCACATTAAATTTCCATTATAATTAAAAACTTCAATCGCACTAAAAATATCCCATGAGTTTTTAGAGCGTACTAACGTCTTAACTCTGGATTCGCTCGGATGCGTCCCTAAGTACGCCGATTTTGTTCACAATTTCATGGGTTTAAATTATTTTGCGCAGAACACTGACTGTTTTTCTAAGAAAAAAGTAGCCTAAGTTACTCCTTATAACATCACCTATCTACCAGTGAGTCCCGTTAAAATCGGTCGAGCTGTTTCGGAAATTAGCCGAAACAAACAGCCAGTCAACAAAAATTTTAAAAATTGTTTTTTCATATTTCATTTAGTAAAAAGTTGTTATTTTGACATTACAAACAGACATTTCAATTTTATTTATCTGTATAGATTTCAATCAAATAGCTTATTTAGGTTAAGTATTATGACATATGCTTAAAAACCTTTTCCAGTGAAAAATGGAGTGTTTAGTTTATTTATGTTTTTTAAACGGGTTAAACTGATATCACGAAATTTATAACTCCGTAAAAAAAGTTTTTTATTAAGGTACCTATAACGACTCTTATTTAAATACAAAAATATGAATGTAATCAATAATAATTTAATACACCAGTAAAAAGTAACACGCAAAACGAACTTGAAACATAATCGGCCTTCGAATGAATCAGTGCAATGACTCATTCGATTTGTTGGCGATCTTATAAGGGTCACGCAACGCGATGTTTAGGCTATTTTTTATGTAATACATTAAATTCTATATATATATATATATATATATATATATATATATATATATATAGCCAAATACTCATGGATCCTAGGTGTTTTTTATATATAAACTAGCATTGCCCGCGGCTCCGCCCGCGTTCAGATGACCAAAAACTAAATTCTTAGGTGTTACATATTAGTATACTCTTACATTGCAGTTTTTGTATTTTTCCTCAGAAATAAGATATTTTCCCGCGGTAAAAAGTATCCTAGGATCGCGCGCTACATCGCCCGGTTTATATGGGGACTTATTTTTATAATAAGTATAGATAAGCAAAGACAAAAAACAGATCAGTACCGTTTATTCCACATTTTGTAAATCGATTGAATTTTTTTCTTCATTTGGTAGTTATTGATGAGCCTTATTGTTACCGATATAAAAGTTTTGGAAACAGTTGGTTTTTGAAATTATACTTCTTTTGGCACGCGCACACCGACAGCCAAAACACGAAATGATGAAGTTAGCTGCATTCCTTTTACAAACTGAGAGTTTTGTTGACATATAGAATGAAATCTTTAGCTAATTTTGTTCCGTTACGCCAAAGAAGTATAACATCTTACGTGCGTATATATGTACACACACACACGTTCTTTTAAGATAAATAGATAATTTCTGTTCATATACGTTTTCACTACTTTTATAAGAAATACACAAGCGAAGCCACAGGTCAGCACAAGTAAAGTTCATGTTAAAATAACATTATCTAGTTAGTAATTAGTTAGGAAATTTAGATTTTGGTCAAAAGTAAAAAAAAAACTTACACGCATGAATTATGAAGTAAAATTACATTCTGACTCAGCGATGCGAGACGTTTGGTCGTCGATTCCCACAGCACTAACTGTATGTGTATAATTTGTTACAAACACACTATCCCTAATATACCGGGTTTCGTTCGATTAGATTTATAATACGACATTTTATATTGGTCATTTTTAACTTTAATCCCATCTCATCTTACTAATATTATAGATGTGAAAGATTGGATGGATGTTTGTTACTCAATCACGCCATAATGGCTGAACGGATCTGGATGAAATGCACACAGATAGAATCTATATATCTAATAGTCTGGAATAACACATAGGCTACTTTTTATCCAGGAAAAATGTACCGTTCCCGTGGGATAGATTTGTATCTGTTTTTCTAGAGACGAACCCATGTGAAGCGAGGGTCAACCGCTATTCCGTAATAAATATTGAACAGCAGCCAACCCCACAAATATTATCTATAACATTGTTAATTATAGTTTCAAGCTCATGTATTTTTTTTAAAAGTAGTACATTCACTTTCCCTTTCTAAAAAAAATCGGTTAAAACCTGTGATGAATATTTAAAAAAGCCAGCTTTATATATATAGTCTATTCCATACTAACTGTTAAAACATACCTAGGGACGAACCTGAACGAATTGAGTGACCAAGTTACATAGTATGTATATGTATATAAACAACAAGAAGTTAGTATATGTTTTGGTGAAAAAAATATATAGTTGATAGGAAATAAATTATACTGTTAAATGTTAAACATCAAATATTTCTTATATATACTCAATTTAATAGTGATAATGTACAAGGCATATTGATATTAATGTATTTACATAGAATTATGTAGTCATGTGAGTGTATTATACTTATGACCATGTTGTCGTAAAAGATTAATAGTTATTAGTAAGTTAAAGTTACTATCTTGTTTTTTTTTTATATTGATTTGGTAACTTGATAAATTTATTTAAGAATTAACTCAAAAAAAAGAAATATATGAAAAAATTATTTAAAGAACATAGTTTAAGTTCAAAGTTTTTAAGCATTTTAACTTATCTTATTAAGACAGAAGTGACTCATATTGAGTTTTTTAATAAAATTATTAGAAGTATTTTTTTACTTATACAATATATAATTACAAATTAGACTACAAATGTGAACCAAATTGACTTATGCAAATTTTTGAAATGTATAGATTGAAAAATTTAACTAATTTTTTTTTCTCTATATTGGCTTAGAGTTACGTTAGAAAGTCTCTATCCACTGACATAAAATAGAACAGATAATGTATTGCTCGGTATTTTTTATAAACTGTATACAAATAAAAAAATAGATTATTAAAATATAGATAGTGAACAACCTTCTTTGATTTAAATGTCTTAAATAGTAATTGCCATAGAGTTAATTTTATACTCCGTATCTAAGTTGTTCCACTTCCTATATCTAATCTTGCAAATACAAACATTATTATGTACACCATTAATGTGTAGTTTTTGTAATGTAAACCATTAATACGTAGTTTTTAGTGTTTGCATCTGTTTCTTCAAACATGCTTCCGAATTTTAGATTTAGTTATTTATAATATTATGTACTTTTATACTATTGTTTTCATCTATATTAATATTATAAAGAGACAACAGTTATTTGTTTGAATGCACTAATCTCAGGAACTACTAATCCGATTTGAAAAAATCTTTTTGCATTAGATAGCCCGTTTATTGAGGAAGGCCATGGGCTTTATTATATATCATTATGTTACTACCCAAGGGAGTGGACCAGTAATATAATATATTACATATAGTCTATCTATTCAATACTAACCGTTAAAACATACCTAGAGACGAACCCGAACAAAGCGAGGGTGAGCCACTAGTTAAACATATAGCTGTGTTTAATTTCATGTTGTTTAGTACACCTAAATATGTATATGAGCAGAAATTTCTATAGAAACTAATTAAATTAAAAGTGATATTATCTTGCTATGGAAAAAATAGTGCAAGAAACACCATATTAATAAAAGCTAAACTCACCCATAAATCCTATTAATGCTAGCACACTCATGGTTCCCTCTTAATAAGAAGAAGTTCTCTGGATATTTGATCTTGTACGCGAGTAACAAGCATATCGTCTCGAGTGACTGCTTGCCGCGGTCCACATAGTCTCCGAGGAACAAATAATTTGACTCTGGTGGAAAGCCACCATACTCAAACAGTCTTAACAAATCATAGTATTGTCCATGAATGTCACCTGTTGACAATAATAGGTGTTATTATTTAGTATAATATGGAGAAATTTTAGTGTCTGAATAACATCAAATCACTCAAAATATCATGGCATTCAGCTTGCGTCTGGCAACATATTTTGGTAATTAGTTCTATAGATCCAAAATATACAATAAAAAATCATATATTTTATTGTATTAAAAGTAAGATAGTGAAATAAAACAGTTTGCCCAACAATTTACTCATTGCAGAATTTTTCTTCAACATACATACATACATTCTTTAGGTAGTTCCATGGTATATGTTAAGTGTTACAGATATTAGCTTTTATATAAAAACAAACAAATGAATACTACTTTATTTGAATCCTGATAATAGTGTAAAAAGGTATTTGCTTAGTAACAGTAAAATACTTTTTTGTTTATGTTTTGTAGAGCTAGTTCAATACACATAGTTAAGGAAAAATCATGTCCAATATTGATTGTGTTAGTCCTCACGTCAATAATAAAAAACACTTATATTATTCAAAGAGCTATAGACAATAAACAATCAATATTTAAAAAAATTGAAGTAAGAAAGTCTAATATTTTATATTATTGTTTTTGAGCATACTCAATAACCAGATAAAAGTCAATAGGATACATTACATAAATAAAACTTGTTTGTTTACTTTGTACAATACATATTGGGAATCTAATGTATCATCATGTATATATATTGTTTTATAAAGATTAATGAAAAAAAAAATCGAGACTCAAGAGTAAGGACAGAATAATATGTACATTTTTAATGTAAATAAAAAAGCTATAAATTATTATGAATCATCTTTTATCTAATGTAAGGTAACTTTTTTTTATTATCTACTCTGCAATCTGTTTTTATAATAATATTAAAACATATAATATTAACAATTAAAATTACTAATAATGCACAAAATTTACTTTTTGTAAATGTTAAAAGATTAAATATAATTGAAATGAATAATCGTGAAGTTTATCATCATATAACACACTTTCTAGATAAAAATGTGATTGACTGGCTTTAAATATCACAAGTAGTCTTTCAATGCTAAGTGATCATTTCGATGATTTCATAAGTTTCGTAAGTAATGTCGAAACGTATAATTAATTACAAATGTGATCTTTTATAAAAAACAATGTTATGAGTACAAAGAATCAAAATATTAACCTCATAGAATTTCTTAATCACTATTTATGTTGTTTTAAAACAAAAGTGGAAAGTGGGTCTGATCTTAGAAAGTTTGAAAACAGCTTTTTACTGAATAAAACTACAATAACTTTGACTAAAACTTACCGCATATTTTTAACGGTGCTTCTAATTCAAGTAATATCGGTTGTGACAGAAATATTTCTCGGGATTTCAAGCATAGCCCTTTAATCTCGATTTCCGTTAACTGTACATTCATGCCAGGCTTCTCGCCTCGCACTGAAAACAAATATAAACATATCACCAACACTAATTTCACAAAATCACATATTTATGTATCACAAAAGTAAGAACAAACTAAATTGCCCCAAAATATATAAATAAACACTTTTTAAAAACTTGTTACGTTATTTGGTCTTTACCTTTTAATAATTTTTTTATTACGTTATCGATGTTTAATTCATCTGTGTCTCTGTCTGCCATCGGATATAATGTTTATGCACGATATATGACTAAATAGAATAAGTTATAGAAAAGGGATTGTTAAGATTTTTGCCGATTACGAAAGGCACAACCTATTTCAGTTCTCGGCAAAACGAAATTCAATGGCGGAGAGTCCAAGACATAACTCATACACACAAACGTCAACCAGATTACGGAACACATCATCAGTGTTTTTAGTTACAAAAATTCTTATTCGGATACGATACATTTTGTTACAGAATAATTAAAATGTATTAAAAAAATATTATAATTTCATATATTAAACGTCATTAACAGAATAACCTATTAAAAATATATTTTTTCTGTAGGTAATGAAACATAATATGTTTAAGATTTGAATTTAATAATGTTTTGAAAAAGAAATATGAATATTCTTTATATCAAGTACAGGACGTGCCTATGTAAAAATAAATATATAGTATAATTTATAAAATAAAAATATTGTGTATTGTATAAAATTAAATTTACGCTTTTATTAAATAGAAAATATTGAAATTATATTTTTTCCAAAGTGGTAATACTCAAAAGCAAAGGATTGCCATATGTTTATTTTCTTTTCTACTAAATCGTACTAAATGGAAGTCTTTTAGTCGTTATTTTAAAATAATAAAAATTTGTTTTGTTTAAAATAAATTTAATAATATAAATATAAAATCTTAATAAAAAATAATAAATTAGTCCTTTTTAGGTCCTCTGTAGGGATGACGCTTACTGAAAACAATGTCAAACGAAATTATAAATTACATAATGTCTTTCTGCAATTAATATAGTTATAATATGAATTGTACAATAAAATCATTATCAGAGTAGATAATTATTGAAACTGATATTGTAAATGCAAGTATTTTTGAGTGTATGTTTTTTGCGTTTTTATACATATAACAAGAATTTAGATCATCATTTGGTGCAACTCTAGTGATTAGTCTTTGTGTCTTTAGACTAACAAAACTTTTTAACAAAAAATAAAAACCGACTTCCAGGCGCTTAAATCTAAAAAATAACTAAACGGAGGTTCATTTAGAATAGATACCTAATCAGATATTTTCGAAGTCGGTGTCAGCCGACGCAAAGCAAATCTAATATATTTTGATACGTAAAATACATATTTACCAATTAGATATTCATATCTTAGAATATTGTAGGCTGGCACGACTGGTTTTATTTTTCCATTTTTAGGGTAGACGTAATAAGCAGGTAATTAGTAAGAAGAAAGTTTTTTAATAAAATATTCGATTAAGCAATTTATTTAAAAAATATATTTATTGTTGATTTTTTAAAAAACCGCTCGACCGATTTCGATAAAATTTATATGGGACCACCTGGGAAGTATACCCTTTGAAACAAAAAAAAATCCAAATCGGTTCAGGCGTCTTCGAATAATCGGTGAATATACCTACATGAAAAAAAAAATCGAATTGATAACCTCCTCCTTTTTGGAAGTCGGTTAAAAATTAGATAGACGGAGAATAGTGATAACATAATATTATTTAATTGTCATTAGTCTGACACAATATTCTTAATTATTACAGTTGTTTTATCAGATCATTCTTGCACCATATATCCGCAGACCGCAGAATATTATACAAGAATTAAAGTAATTACGGAGATTTACACAGTAAAAACTTACGCAGGAATTGTCAAGGTAAAAATTCCAAATGTAGTGTTAACGTCTTCCAAATGTAAGATACCTTCTATGTATTCTTTATCAGCTGGAACTGCTGGAGTCTCGAAAACCAAATTCATTATATAATCTTCAACACAACTAAAATAAAAGTAGGCACATTATTATCGAACTTGTATAACTTATTTTAATTAAATAATTAGTCGATTATTATTAGAACGGTAAAAATATTTCACCCATAGAATAATAACAAAATTTTTCTTTTTTTTTTAATATACCTCGCAAGAAATTTATATGGATTCGTTAAACTAGCTCTCTTAAACCTGAAAGTTTTAACAGAAATATTCTATCACGTTTCACGTCACATTTTTTTACTATTGTTAATTATTTTTTTCAATTATTACATTCTCACTTACATAGTGGCATTAGTTTAATGTTTATTTATTCGATTCCAACAACAAACAGCTTATTACAAATTTAATTAAAATATTCATTGGAAGCTATAAAGTAAGCTCTGATCATCTTTGCTATCTTTGTGCACTGTTTCTATTTTCAAAAAAAGAGAAAGCGAATCAAGATAAACACTAGGTCCCTAATGTATTTTGTGAAAGCTTTCTAATCTTTTTACTACAATGCTCATCAGGAGAATCTAGTGCAAAAATATTATGGAGGTAACCAAGTGATCATGGAAGTGAGTCTTACTATTTATCACAGATCACGTAATACTATACGCTACGAACACATAGGGTTATAATATATTAAATAATGTCCGCTACTAATCCAGTTTTACATTTGAAGGATCTTCCATACCCAATTTCCCCGCTAGTTTAAATTAAAATATACTAGAAGACGACAATGAAAACGATGTTGAAATCTATACATATAATAAAATTGTAACTAAGCCGAATCTGTACATTAATTTTTTTTTTAAATCTTATTGAAATAGATATTATTATCGATACAGAGGCCGAATCTATAGTTTTCAGAATTTTTGTCTGTCTGTCTGTCTATCTGTTACCGCATCACGGAAAAACCACTAGAAGGCACTTGATGAAATTTGGTATGGAGATACCTGGTTATCCAGGTCAACATATAGGATACTTTTTACCTCGAGAAAATATCTCATTTCTGAGAAAAAATACAAAAACTGCAATGTAAGAGTATACTACTATGTAAATCCTAACAATTTGGTTTTTGGTTATCTGAACACGGGCGGAGCCGCGGGCAATGCTATTCTAAAAATAAAAATACAAAAATTCTTTCCAGTATTACAGTAGTAAAACTAAAAGAAGGAATAATTTGATAGTCCACAGACAAACATTATAAAAAAATACAGTTTAAACTCTTTTAACTGTAATTAAAAATGCCGCTTGAAATTCGCTCAAATTTTTTTTGTTTCATGTTTAAGTAAGAATTTTTGGGCAATAATAAAAACATAATGTTGCTGATTTACTGAAAAGTTTTCAACAAATGGGGGTGAACATGTCATTAAAGATTCATTCCCTGCATTCTCATTTAAGCTGTTTGCCTTTTTAGGAAGTATGTGTGACAAAGATTAGGAACTCTTTTGTCTAGATTTAAAGACTTATCTTCATACGAGACATGAAGGATTTTGGAATGAAAATATGCTAGAGGATTGCTATTAGTCCATTATAAGAAAAACTGATCCACGAAACTAGAAAAAGAAGACGAAAATGAGCAATTTTTAGTATTTTTATATTGTTGATATTAAGGTTGTTTATTTCATTTTTGGGAAATAAATATTTCTAGAAATCATCACCATTTTCAGACATGATAAAATTTTCTATTTATTTTTTCTTTATAACCTAAGTGTAAACTATTGTTATTACTTATTACAGATCGAGGAGAAAAGGGTAAAAATAATCCTTCAAATAAAATTTTGAATATTTTACATCTTTTAGTTTTATACGATTAAATTTAGGAATCCTTGGTTTTGTGGTTTCTGGGCGTTCCGGTCTAATATTTAATCTTTAAAAGATTATGGGGAAGAAGGACCATCTTACATAGGATCCAGACAAATGGGTATTTCGTTAATAAACATCCATTCTCGTTATGTTTGTAAACCAACTTAACCGTAAAAATTTACAATAAGGCCTCTTATTGGTATTGTGTTGATGTACTCGTATTAAATATTCAATCTTGTTAATCTTACGTTTTTGGTACATTTTAAAAACTTGCGAATAACGATCATATTTGTTTACTGAATCAATTTTGACTTACTAAGCACAAGGTTGATAGGGAACCAGTATTTCAATTTTATTGGGACGAAGGGTCTCCACGTATGGATCAGCCACGAGCTTTGCTGTCACCGGTGCCGGACCTTTTCGAGCTTTTGGTGTCGGGGCTGGCGGCTATATAAAAGTAATGTTAAATAACTATTTCAACAATCAACATTTAATGATTTATACTTATTCCGCATAAATCATGAGCAAATATTTAAAGCAAGTAATCTTTGACCGCCATTTTGCCAATTTGACCAATAAAAATTGTGTTGACACTTGACAATCTGAACTAAAACTTTAGAAAAATGTACAGAAAGACTTATATACCTTTGGCAAATATGATTTTTCTAACTATTTCCGAGTGGAAAAATAAATTTATTGGTTTGTTGAATCTAATTTTAAACCAAGGAATATATACATATGTATATCTTCCGTGGTTTAAATTTAGATTCTACGTACGTATTAGATTATGTACATAGGAAGACGCTAACATTAAAAGTAACAAAACATCTACAACATAATATAGATACCTTTACAGCACCATAAACAACTTCAATCAGACTTTTAACATCAGCCTCTAGAATTCTTAGGAATTTGCGTACGTTCCATTTAGTTAATTCTTTATGGTTTCCCAAAAGAGACAGTAGCGGGGTAATGTCGCATCTCGCCAATCTAAAGCAAACATATTATTAAGATCACTTAGCGCTTATTTAGTATAACAGTAAAACTAAGTTTAGTCATCACATAATTTAAGTACATAGTTGTTTTAGACATTTTTGTGAATAAATTTAGTAACTATTTTAATTTAGTTATAGTCTTGCTCAGATTGAACTGTAGGAAACGAAATACTATATAACAGATGATTTAGAAGTTATTTTAAAATTTGATTGTTACTGATTTTTTTTCCACATGCCATACTATATGTATAGCATATATTGAAATATCCGATCTGGAGAGTTGTGTCTTTTAAATTAGCTATTAACTAGCAATTATTTATTATAATATGTATATTAAATATTATTTTTAAATTTTTCTTTTACCTCACAAGATCATCAATCCCCCTGAGAACTTTCGTAATAGTTGCGTCAGCAGACTCGTTCTCGTCGTGCACGCGTTGCGTTTTGTCATGTTTTCTCTCCACATCTAGTTTTAGTTCCGTCAACTTCTTACCCTGGCTCTCTTCTCTTGCTTCGTTTATGTCACGCTGATCCACTTTAAATTATCAACAATACTCGTGACTAATTGTTATTATTTAAATATAATATTTACGTATAATGAATTATTGTAATACATTTTAATAATTTGTACTTATGTGAAGGCTGTGAGGCTTTGAAGTTATTTTTAAATAATACATTGTAACTACTTAATTTATGATCTAAGTCGTTAAAAATATAAAACGCATTTGAAATCAGTTGCTTTATAAGTATTAATGTAATAACGTAGTAACTATATTTAGTAACTAAATATGTTCCCTCCACGACCGCGGACACGCCGGCGTTACAGTTAACAATATATTTCTTAGAAATTTAATTAATTTCTTAGAAGTTTACTTGGAGGTGATATTTAGTAGCAAAAAAAGTTAGTCTTGAGTGCAACAGCTTCAGCCCGTGTCTAAGGATATAGACTGATCGTACCTACTAGCTAGCTAGCAAGAGCTAAGTAAATAAAATTCTTTTCATATCAATCTTACTGATCTTCTGGCGTAATATTTCAAGTTCACGTCTCATGATGATCGATTCCTGGAGTACTTCGCACAGCAATACAAATAGTGAAAAGTTTTGTATTTCAGTAGCTTTAAAATTATTAATGATCGTTGTCAATATATCAGAGCCGGCGTAGTTCTAAAAAAGTGATTACTTATCTTTAGTTTGTAAACGAACGTAAAAACTTGGGCACAAATTCAGAATTGGGGACTTGGCCCCTAGCGGAGTGGGTGGTATTTCTGGATAAGGGACGTGATAGGGAGTCGAAATGTTAAATAATTTTTTTAATACAACAAAAGATTCAAAAGTTATTGAGACTTAAAGTTACAACATTTCCATACATTTTCATATATTTCTTTACCACTATTCGGAGTGGGTGGTATTTTTAGATAGGGGAGGTGACAGAGAGTCAAAATATATTAAAAATATTTGGAGGAAACGTACGACTAAAAAGTTATTGAGACTTAAAGTTATAACATATCTAACACATTTCCATACATTTCTTTACCTAAATAAGTGATTACAACAGATAAACATACCTTTAACGAATAGTACGCATCCTTTTTTATGTACATTACACATTTTCACAACAATTAATGCTTTATTGTATTTAATATTTTAATAATTTCACAACACAAACAAAATGATCTTACATTTTGACAAAAGCAAAACTGACACTTTGTTTTATATTACCGCTTAAATGACAACAGATTATATTTGATTATTTTTGCTTTTTCTGTTGGTAAAATATTAATATTAATAAATAAATAAATAAAAAGAAAAATATTATTTTCACTTTATAAATACATTTATAACTTTTTATTTGATTTATGTAAAATATATTGTTTTACAATTGTACATTTAGTAAAAAAAATAATTTTTTTATCTGTGAATATTTTTAATTATTTATTTATTATTCGTCATATCTGGGTTAGGTTAGGTTAGAACATTTAAGATTATTTATTTATTATTCCTCATATCTGGGTTAGGTTAGGTTAGAACATTTAAGATTATTTATTAATTATTCGTCATATCTTGGTTAGGTTAGGTTAGAACATTTAAGATTATTTATTTATTATTCCTCATATCTGGGTTAGGTTAGGTTAGAACATTTAAGATTATTTATTTATTATTCCTCATATCTGGGTTAGGTTAGGTTAGAACATTTAAGATTATTTATTAATTATTCGTCATATCTTGGTTAGGTTAGGTTAGAACAGTTGCCACAACGCACGAGCCGAGCGAGCGAAGCGAGCGTGCCGCGGTAGCGGCCGGCGAGTGCCATAAATGACTAGAAAACTAGAAAATTCGAATTTCACGCAAAGTACAAATAAAGACAATCATCTGGAGATCATTTTGACAATTGAAAGTGACGTTTTGACTCCAAGTGTCTAAATGGTAGTAATGTCAAAATAATGTATGGAAATGTTATAACTTTAAGTCTCAATAACTTTTGACTCTTTTGTTGTATTAAAAAATTTATTTAACATTTCGACTCCCTATCACGTCCCTTATCCAGAAATACCACCCACTCCGCTAGGGGCCAAGTCCCCAATTCTAAACGGCCGCCAAAACTTGATATTGTCAAAAACCTTAATATATTTACATACTAATGTAAGGCAGTGGTAGCGCGCTCGCTTGGGAAACCGAGTGAAGCGGGTTCAAATCCCGGGTCTCGCACCTCTGATATTTTCATGTGAGAATTATTTCTAACATGATTACCACTTGCCTTACGGTGAAGGAAAGCATCGTGAGGAAACCTGCATGTCTGAGAGAACCTAGCAAGTTTTCGAAAGACATATGGAACCCACCAATCTGCACTTGGCCAGAGTGGTGGACTATGACCTGATCCCCCTCATATAGAAGGGAGCCCAGGTCCAGAGTGGGACGTTAAAATGGGCCGAATACGAATATTTATCAAACTAATAATTAAAAATAATTTATATTTTTATTACTATTTTTTTATGAATCTTACAAATATTTCTTCCAGCAAAGCGTCATATCTAGCGATCTCCTGCTCACAGCGCTGTATCTCCTCTTGACGTTTAATCTCTTCCTTCTCATCGGCTTCGCAGATTCTTCTAGAACCCTTAACTCTAAGAAACTCTTCTAATTTTGCCAAATGGTTTAATTCTCCTTCAAATGATTGCATTTCCTACATGTTTAAAATATTAAAATAATATTGAATAATCGCTCTGTATTGGGATAAATAGAGTCAATATTTTCAGTTTAATACTTTCTACTAACAATGTATGATTATTTATCATTTAGCAGTTGATAAAAAAGGTGGTTTTTACTCAATTGGAACTAGAATCTGAATGATTCATTCAAATAGAACGATAAGTGAATGTAAGATGAGCGCGAATAGTAAAGAATTTATAGGTATATACTTCCTCATACAAACTTTCATTTCCATTCTCACCCCCTTAAGGGATGATTTCCGAGAGATAAAAACTGTTTCACTCACTTTACATATCGTGAGATTTAAAAAAAATGTTATTATAGTAAAAAAAATAATTTCTTTTAATATTTTCTTCAACAAATCTTGTCCTGACAATAACAAACAAAAAAAGGAATTATCCAATTTGGTGCAGTCGATCGGAAGTTATGCGCTTTTTACTATTTCGGTGATTCATTTTTATTTATATAGATTTTTGGTATTAGCAGAAAAATATATTTTGTATAGAAAGAAGGTAGTAATTAAATTCAAACCGATATATCTCTGTTCAGTTGGAACAATCCTTTCCATTTCAAGGCCTCCAGCTTCCGACAGCACTCGTCTCTATCTCCGAAAGCGTTCGCGGCAATTTCAAATATATCCATCAGATACTCTTTGCCTTTCACCAGCTTGCCGATAGCTCTGTTCCACTGGATGTTGAAATCGTTCCTATATACATAAGTATAAAATAAAGGAGAAAAAAATAATTAATTACATATTATCAAAATGGGCACACTGTGTTGAGCCTAGCCTGAACTAGATGGGATAAGGTCATGATTTGATTTGAAGACATTGTAGAATGTGGGACTAATTCTAGTTGATACTCACGTAGTATATATACTTAAGACTATTATAGTAAATGTTTGTGAACAAATTTAATTTCCAAAAGAGCAACTGATGAGTTTCTTGCAGGATTTTCAAGCAGAAATACCTTCCGAGTCATTGGTAGCTGTCAAAAGTGCTTGAAAAATATATTTGAAAATAATATACGTATATTTTGGCTTGATTTAATAAACGAACAAGAACCAGGTCACCCAAATGTTTGGTAGGTACATAATACCTAACAAATGTGACAAAATGTTAGGCCTTTCAAATCAAATCTTATTACTACTGCTCGATGAATAACAAATTTACACTCCCAACTTAAATTAGCACAATATATGTAAAGCGTATTGTACTTATAAATTCGAAGTACAAACCTTTCAACAAGTAGTCGATCTATTTCCTCGCGCACTCTCTTATTGTCAGTGTTGACCAAGCAGAACCGCTTCGTGGCCAGGTCCAGGCGGTTCTCCATGCGTCGGAGACAGTTGTTTGCATTCTCTATCATTGCCAATTCCTTACAAAATATTATAGAATATAATACAAGATATGAAAATGATTACTTTTAGTAGTTTGAAGTTTCTATATGATGATATCAGATATAAATTTCATAACTTTTCCAAAATTACTAGAAGGAAATAAAATTAATATTCAACAGTATTAATAGTTATCACGATTACTTTTTGATAGTACTTATGACTTTCTTCAAGAATTTAGCGAACATGAACAAATTAAAAATTACTCTTTTCTAATCTAGGTATATTGAAAACTTAAAAAAAAACCGACTTCCAGGCACTAAAATGTAAAAAATAACTAAACGGAGGTTTTCATTTAGAATAGATACGTAATCAGATATTGTCGAAGTCGGTGCCAGTCCAAAATATTTTAAGATATGAATAACTTATATGTAAATATGTATTTTACGTATCGAAATCCGCAAAATACATATTTTCGAAGTCTGGAAGTCGGTTTTTATTTTTTTAAATTTTTATTTTTCCATTTTGTAGACGTAATAAGCAGGTAATTTGTAAGAAGAAAGTTTTTTAATAACATATTCGATTAAACAATTTATTTAAAAAACGATATTTTTTGTTGATTTTTTTTAAAACCGCTCGACCGATTTCGATAAAATTGACATGGGACCACCTGAGAAGTATATATACATACCCTTTAAAACAAAACAAAAAATCCAAATCGGTTCAGGCTTCTTCGAGTAATTCGAGAACATACATAAAAAAAAGATTTCGACGAATTGAGAACCTCCCCCTTTTTGGAAGTCGGTTAAAAATTGAAATACTTCAATCCTCTTGTCTTTTCTATTGTACGTGACACTGGCAAAGTAATATGTACTCAACTGGCACATTTTAAAACCAAAAACAAGCAAATATGAATTAAAATACGTGTTAGGTGACGGTTCCTACATCGCCGCTATGACGTATACAATCGTCAACTTTTGAAATCGATCCTAAGAAATCTCTAATCTCAGTAACTAATGAGCATCGATAGCTGTATAAAAACTATATATGAATAAGAAAATAAAATCACATCAGCTTCAGTGGGCACTTTCTTCAACAACTCCACGAGTTGTTTCTGCGCGAGGTAGTTGAGGCAGTCGAGCTCGGCTTGCTGTGCTTTCTCGTCTCTTAATTCGCTTTCTAGGTGTTCGTATTCGACAATGGACTTGCGAGTGCTTTGCTTGGTCAAGTTGTCGCGTAGTGCGTGTTGCCCTTTTTGGGCTAACTGAATATGAATAATTAATGTTTAATTAACGTTCTAACTTAGAAGTGTTTTTTTTTTCTTGAATTTTGTATGGAAAATCTTGAGGTATGGCTTATTTATTTGAGAAAATTATGAAAATATGTATACTATAGTCGAAGGTATCGTATAACATACACTAATTAAAAACCATAACCAACGTTTCCTGAATTCGGTCAATAATTATTTAATCAAAATAAAATCACTACAAAATTTGAAAAGGTTGGTTCATAATCTCAAATATAAATGTAAGAAAGTATCAAGAAATAATAACACTTAATTTTCATAAACCATTAGTTTTTATTAACTTTGTTATTTCATAGGCTATTGACTAAAAAAAAACTTAAATTTTCAAAATCAAATTATGGAAAGACTTAAGAATTCACTTAGTGTTTTTTATTATTGCTCAGTAATGTATCATATTTTGTAAGATTTAAGACTAACATTGATGCAAAGTAAGGTCTCTTTGAGCTCAGTGGCGAGGATGGCGAGCTGCTTCTCCTGCGGCGCCAGCTGCGGGATGCCGGCCACGCGCTTCTCCACGCTGCACGTCGGCGCTAACTTTTGAAACTAAAATAACATACATACATACATATATACACAAATATATTCTTAATATATATATATATATATATATATATATATATATATATATATATATATATATGTATGTATGTATTATTGCATATTTATATTGATATTTGTAGTTTGTACCTATACCATCTAATTTTTTTTTCACGCTTGAGGTTCTCTCTCGTTAAAGAGATAGTTCATTCTACGTACACTATGTATCTGTTTTCTATTTTTTGTAGTGCATAAATAAATACTTAAATAAATATGTATAACAGAATAAATAGCACTTCATATTTTTCCTATACTAGCAACTCACTCTCGCTTTGCTCGGGTGCTTCCTAAGGCGCCTGTATAGGTACTACTCTAGGCATAGCCTATTTGTGAACTAAACATCCAAATCCGTCCAGCCATTTCATCTTGAAAGAGTAACAAACATACACACATATAAACTTTAGCATTTATTATAATAGTCGGATAATCTGATTCCATGTTATAGGTACATAATGTTAGTAATAACTATACAGTATTGGGTTATAAATACAGTAATTTATACCAACTGCCTCGGTGGTGTAGTGGCTAGCATGTACGGCTGCACACCCGGAGGTCCTGGGTTCGAGTCCCGGGTCGGGCCAAGTTTAGTTATTGAGTCTTACTCTATAGTAAGTCTCAGTAACAGCCCGGAGTTGGGAAGTTGGCGGTGTTTCACCCCCGTGCCTCGGAAAGCACGTAAAGCCGTCGGTCCTGCGCCTTAACTCTCACCGGTCGTGTCGAGTGGTCGTCCCACCGGAGTATGAGAGTGATAGGAATAGAGAGTGCACTTGTGTCTGCGCGTACACTTGAGCACTATAATATCTCCTGCGCAGTTGGCTAATCTCGTTGAGATTGGCCGCCGTGGCCGGAATCGGCCAGAAGAACATCACATCAATTTATACCATCAAGATGATTTGATGCTGGAGTCTATATGTAGAAGTATTCTGGAACTCTTTAATGGCTACCAGTAAATTTTGCGATATCGGTTTCATTTGTTTTAGTTTGACTGACATTATAATAGGCCAAAAATATAACTTTTCGAATGGTCTTTAAAAATTGTATGTACTTATTAATACCTACACATTTTAATTTCTACTTAAGTGGTTTATTTCTATGGACCAAAACATTAAGATTTCAAAAGTAAAATACAGTCACTATTCTATTTCCACATGTACCCATCGATCAAAAAAGTACCTACCTACTAGACACATCAATCAGGGACAATAAATGTCCGCACCGAATGAGCGCTCATTTGAACATTTGAGCGCGCTTTTATTTTAAACATTTTTTGTTAAAACAACTTTAAACATTGCGTTTAAGGTTCAATTTACATTGTTCTATATTTATTTCAACTACAATAATTACCTAAACGCAATTGGTGACAGTTTTTAGAGAACTTTTGCATGGGATTGTGTATCTAGTACTTTTTTATCGATGCATACACCTATTTCTTTGTTGCAGCTATAGAGTATCACTGCGACCATTCCAGGTTTATTATGATCACAGCATATTAAACTAGATTAACCCACTGAACTCTGCAGCTGTAATTAACTGCAGCATTTGATTAGGGGTTAGACTCTATAATTTTATCTGGGCCTAGAAACAATTGCCGAAAATGAATACTGCGCTTGTGCATGAGAGGTGCATCAGAGGTACACACTCCCCAAGAAGAAAGAGTGGAGAAGGAGAACATGTATAGAAGCTGATGTATCAGCTTTCATACATCTTCTGTATTTCCACATGTAACAAAGTGTTATGTGTGGACGACATAACTTTGTTAGTACGCATTCATTACCGTTCTTTGCACATTACTGAGCTCTGCCTCAGGGTCCACAGTCTTCTGTTCCACTTGTTGCGGCATTGTGTTAGTGTTTCAACTAAATATAATATATCTACAGAAATAAAAGGATTGCTTTCATTAAATATTGGAATATAAATATGTATCGGTGACAGAAGATTTTTATTCTTTTTTTTTTGTTAAAGATTAAAAATATTATAAAACCTTCATTATAATAATTTTAATGATAATACGTAACCCACTTTGATTTAAATGATGTTTTTGCCAAAGAATTTGCATCAATTATTAAAGCTTATTTAACGTTATATATACCTATAAATTTTAACATCTTAGTGCACTAGCGCTTCAACCTGCTTCCGCTCGGGTTCGTTTAGTATAGATTTCTCTGAGATAAGAAATTTTCCCGAAGTAAAAAGTATCTTATATATTGATCCGGATAACCAACTATCATCATACTAACTTTCATCAAAATCTGTCCAGTGGTTATCTCGTGATACGTTCCCAGACAGACAGATAGACAAAAATTGTAAAAACAATAGATTCGGCCTCTGTATCGACAATAATGACTATATCAATAAGATTTTCCAAAAAATATTTAATGTAGAGATTCGACTCAGAATTTTATTATATATATACACTAGCATTGCCCGCGGCTCCGCCCGCGTTCAGATGACCAAAAACCAAATTCTTAGGTTTTACATATTAGTAAGTTCTTACATTGCAGTTTTTGTATTTTTTCTCAGAAATGATACATTTTCCCGCGGTAAAAAGTATCCTATATGTTGACCCGCATAACCAGCTATCACCATACCAAATTTCATCAAAATCCATGCAGTGATTTTTCTGTGATGCGGTAACAGACAGACAGACAGACAAAAATTCTAAAAACTATAGATTCGGCCTCTGTATCGATAATAATGTCTTTTTTTTATATTAACGCACAGCACCATCTATTTCCATGGTAAGCAACGAGGTTGTGTTATGGATACCAAATAGTTGATACACTACACATATGTATATAACTTTTAAATACACATATATTATAAATATAAATATAAACACCCATGACTGGAGTACAAATATTAGTGCTCATCACACAAATGAATGGCCCCAGCGGGACTCGAACCCGCGACCGCTGGCACAGGAAGTCACTACCAACTGAGCCAAACGTGTCGTCAAATTGTCTATTTCAATAAGATTTTCAAAAAAATATTTAATGTACAGATTCGGCTTATTTACGATTTTATTATATGTATAGATTAGAACTTTTAATCCCTTATGCTACGGAAGTAAAGTGGTGATGATGGTGGTAAAACATTCAAAACTCTTCAAACCCATGAGCATCGATCAACACTCTATCAGTTTTGAAACATAAGTGAATTTAGTTTTACTCTGTATGGAGTTCTTTAGAAGATTGTAAAGAACCAAGCATTTATTGGTTGGAATTTGGAACGAATCACTTTTTTTAAACAGGCTATGTTATAAATTATTCTTAATTTTCCAATCAATAAAGTTAAATTTTTAATAATATTAATATTTAAAATGAATTCTTTAAAATTGTTTTTGAACTATAACAAAACTTTATTTAGGTATGGATCAATAAAAGTTCAATTAAAATTCAGAATTTATTTATTTCATTAATAATTTCACATAATTATATAATAATGTAAATACGAACTAGTCATTAGATCTAAAATTAAGTTACGATATTTAAGTACTTACGCGAGATGCTGAGGCCATCTATACTATTAGAATACAAAAAGACTTAAAACTCGCGATTTCCGTCGTAAAAGTATCGTACGTAAAAGTAAGATCGATATTTTTTTCAAAAAAGCAAAACGTAGTCATTTTTTAAATTGCCTACAAAATTTATTATAATATTAAATGTTATTAATTTATTATTATTACACAAAATCAAAGAACGTCCATCCGGTTAGATTTTTAACGTTCATCGTTAAAAAATGGTAAAAAAACAGACGTTAACAGAAGTTTTGAATTCCATATTTTATAGATGGTCTCTTACAATCGATGTTTGATAAAAATTAAGTTTTTTCTACTTTATTAGTAAATTTAATATTTTTTAGGTTTAAGGCAGACGATCTTTAATGCTCTGAATACACTTTAAACCGAATAAAGGATTTGATAAAATAAGATTTCTGAATGAATGACATATAAAATGTTCAAAATTTATTATTAGTGTAGTAAGTAGTTGCAAGGAACAACATTGTAACACAATTTTAGCGAATTTGAAAATAATATTCATTGAAAATTACTACAATCCCGAGTTACAATATTGTTCTTTGCAAGGATCGATGTGTGTCGGCCCTTTTAGAGATAAAATGTCGTATTTTATAATTTGAATTTTGAAATTTAAAAATGGCAACAAATTAATGTTATTATTTTCACAATTATATATGTAATTTCATGTTTATAAAAATACTGAAATTATTTTAATTAACACAAAATTTGCAGAAATGAGCTGAAAGAAAAATAATCTAGATTTGTATAACTTTAAGGTTTACAATTTAAAATATTGACATAAAAGAATGACTGAACTATATTCGGTATAACATACATTTGTGCAGAAAATTACTAAGTAGTTTTATTTAAAATATACGAGTTATAACAAACTGCCAGTCGTACACTAAATACAGTGATATGGACATTTTACGGAAAATAAACATTTTAAATTAGTTAATTCAGTCTTAAATAAAAAAAATACCAATGCCATATCCTTTTTCGTGGTAGAAAAAGGTATTCTTTTCTTCGCGCATATTATTTTAGTCGAATTAAAAAAAATAAAGAATCCATATAAGAACACAAGTATTTCAAAAGAATAAAAATATATTAATAATACGTAAGTTTGTTTAAATCAGTAAAAAATTTACAATCTCATATATTCGCCAACATACATTTTTGTGACGACAAAAACAGGGCGATATTATATGTATTGATAATTTTTCACATTAAACGTCTTACTTGTACCATAAGATAATACTTATTTATTTGTTATATATAAATAATTTCATTATTACATATATTTATACATTAATCTCAATTATTATGATAGTTTAAATAAATAAAATAGTGACTGTATTAAGAATATTATGTCCATTTAATTTGAGATATTTAATATACAAGAATACAAAAAAAAATAGTGCGGTATAATCTTTACGCGCGGTTGAAGTAAAACTTCTTTGGCGCTAACAAATCAAAATGTAAAGATAATATTTTTTATAAAATTATTAGTAATAAATATTCATTTTTATAAGTAAAAATAATTGTATAATTATTATAAAAATATAAATATACTATTTTTGTAAATTATTAATAATAAATTTGACTCTCACGTCCAATATATTGACTTCCCCTCAGTCACGCCTAAAGAAGTTTTACTTCAAAAAAGAGTTTCGACACTTTCTAAATACTTTATTTATTTAAAAGTTTAATCTTATAGTGCATTAATATGTTAATTTTCAAATGTTTTTATTAAACAGTTATAAAAATGTATTATGTGGCAACGTAATTAAAATAATTCAAACTAAGTTAAATTAGAATTGACTTCGATATACAAGGCACTGTTTAAGGCATCTGTCGTAGCGATATAAAACTTAGGTATAGATTTTCAGGTTTAAATATTTTCTAGATACATATGTACTCGTATATATGCATATCTAATGGAGAAATTTTAAGGTGTTTATGGAAAATATACACGTCTTATAGTATATTTATGTTATATCTTTTTTTATTATTTAATTTATGATTTTTCGCATATTTTTTGTTAATGTCGATTGTGAAATGAGATTAATTCCGTACTTTTATACACATTTAAGGCATAATACTACGACGTGTAAAACTTGAATTGCTGAAAATTGACAGCACAATTTGTAGCCATTTTCAAAATCTATACAGATAAACAAAATTGATGTCTGTTTGTAATGTTTAAATACCAACTTTTTACTAAATAATAATAATAATAATAATAATCTTTATTTCAGACGTAAGTACATCCATATATTGTTAATTGGTTAGTAACAATTATACTTAATACTATGTTAGTATTGTTAGTATTTTTTGCATAAAATATTACTTATTTATTCTTTATTTATCTTAGTCCAATGGCCAACTCCATCCAGTGTTTCTGAAAGGGGCAGTCCATTCTGGCCGAAATACACTTTAAAATACTGTTGTTGCTATCGCGTAGACGCTGCATCAAAGAAATAGCTTTCTTGCGCATAATGGCATGAAACCCATCTGTGTGTGCCTCTGCGAACATCTTTGAAGCACTACAACGCCACGACAGCCCCAACAGCATTCTAAAGGCATTATTATATTGCACACGCAAGGCGTTGTAGGCCCGGCGCGAATATGCCACCCACAAACTACAGGTATAAAAGGACTGACAGAACGCTTTAAATAGTGTTATTTTGACGTCCTTCGTACACCGAGCAAATCTGCGGACGACCATATTGCTCCTAACCGCCAACGCCCTGCGTTCCCTCTCAATGTCATCATCATCCCGTAGATCGCTAGTAATGATGTGACCAAGATACTTAAATTTCTCGACAACGTTCAGCGATACACCATTTAGACTCACGAACGGGACATGGCGTGGTTTTAATTTTTGACACTTAAACACAAGTATTTCACTTTTTTTTGAGTTGTATGCTAAGCCATGCACCTTTGCGTAAGTCTCACAGGTAGCTATCAGTTTTCTTAAGCCGGCTATGGAAGGACTGAGCAAGACCATGTCGTCTGCGTAGCTTAGATTATTGACACAGGTGTCGTCAATGTGACAGCCGACATGTGTGTTACTCAATTCCTCCACGAGTTGGTCAATGTACAGGTTGAAAAGTAAGGGTGAACTCAAACCTCCCTGTCTCACTCCGCACTCCAATCTGTATTCATCCGACAGTGCACCGACCCATCTTACTTGATTTCTCTGGTTAGCATACCAGTATTTCAAAAGGGACGTATACTCCGCCGGTATACCTGCGTCCTTTAACTTGCTCCAAAGTACATCATATGAAACAAGATCAAATGCCTTAGATAAATCCAGGAAACACGCATATACCGGCGTACGCCTTGCAGTATAGTACTTGACAGTATGCTTCAGACTAAGAATAGCGCTTTCTGTCGACAGACCTGATCTAAAGCCGAATTGGGCATCTTGCAAAGAAACGTGCTTATATAGCCTGCCATTTATCACACTGTCAAGTATTTTAGCTGCGGTGGTAGCAAGCGAGATGGGGCGATAATTGCTCATATCGGACGTGTCACCAGTCTTGTTCTTAACTATTGGTACTACAATAGTCCGCATAAGCGGCTCCGGTAAATATGAATGATTTAGACACAGATTGAAAAACAGTGCGAGAACTCGAGGCAGATGAACTCCCGCATACTTAAAGTGTTCAATGCTGAGATTATCGTGACCAGGTGATTTTCCACGAACCATTTCTTTAATTATTTGTGCCACCATTTTTTCCGTAATCTTTTCACTCCCGCTCGCCGTGATAGTCTCAGCATCGTTCACCTTATTCAACGTGGAACCCAGAGGTGATCGCATAGTGAAGCGCGACCTAAATGCATCAGCAATTTCTTTATGGTCGGAAAGACCATCTACACTCACGGGTAAACTCGGCCTAATTTTCATTTTATTAGTGTTCTTCCAGAAACTCTTAAAATCTTTGGATAAGTGATCTGACGCGAGAATGTCCATTTGAAGTTGTTCCTGTCGGTTTTGACACCATTTTAATTTTGCCTTAAAATGTCTCCTAGACTCTACCATTTCATTGAAAACGTGACCACTAGTCGGTTGCCCCGCTAACATCCGCATTTGAAATTTAAGCCGCGCCTCACAATGCGGTCCCGCGACGTGCCTATTCCATCCCGTAACATAGCCTCCCCTTTTTTTACATTTACCACTGTACGTGCGCCTAGCGGCCGCTGATAGTGTGTTAATAATATTGCTATACATTTTATCTAAGATAGCGTGATGTTCTGTTTTTTTACACAAATTATCGCAACATTCACTAAGTTCTTGTGGATTTATCATTGACAAATTAGAGTTACACAGGTCATGATATTGGTTTATCTGTTTAAAATTCCTCTCACCCCATATAACACAATTTAAAGAGCTCATTTTCGGCTGTACAATTTTCGGTTTTAAACTATTTATACTACATTCTAATACAATTGGATAATGGTCAGACCAATACATGTCATATTGTACTGATACGCTAATAACCGTTTGTAAAGCTGATTTAGTGACGATGCAGTGATCTAACCATCGTTTACACCCATGAACTTCACTACAAAAAGTAAATGTATTTCTACTACACATGTTTAAATCCACACATATCCAATTTTGATCAACACAAAAATCTAACATTTCATTGTAAAATAGCTCATTGGGATGAGCATTAAAGTCCCCTAATATATAGAAAGCTTCAATTCCATTACTTTCTTGTATTTCTATGACCGACCTGATTGTACTTAGACAATTACTAAATTCTAGTAGATTGTCATAAGAGTTAGTAGGCATATATACACATATATACACAAATGCACATGAAATTATTATATGTAATTTTTTATCTATCTGTCTGTTTTTTTCCGGCAAATCTCCGAAACGACTGGACTGATTTTGATGGGAATTTCAATGGCAGATAGCTGACATTATAAGGAGTAACTTAGGCTACTTCTATTTTAGAAAAAGAATTAGGGTTCCGCTTAAAAAAATAAAAACGTACCTAGGGACGCACCCGAGCGAAGTAGTAAGAGTGGTTTCATATATATTTTTATATGTGAAATTGGTGATAAACTGAGCGATAACTTTTTTTAAAGTTACCTTTTACACAAGAATATATATTATAATAAAAATATGTATAAAAGTATTGAAATAACCTCAATGAACACTTGACATTAGAATAAAATAAGCCGAAAATCAATGAAACCTAGATTACCTTAACAAAAAACCTTTCATTAACCGACGAAAAAAAGGAGGTTCTCAGTTCGACACAAATATTTTTTAAATAAGTTCAAGCTACGACAGATACTTAATTTAATTTTTAAACCAATATCCATAATATTATTGTATTTTCGAAATTGATATTAAATAGTTTCATTTAAGGCACTGTATATTTTCATATTGAAATTAAGGTCTATGACGCTTTATAATGTTAAAAAAAATATTTTTAATTATATTATTCTAAATTGCAGCAGATCGTTATTCTAAATTAATTTATTGTTAATAATATGGCTATTAAACATATTGTGGACTTACAACTAAAGTACGTGCACCTTTCACTCCTAATGAAATATTTAAGTGTTATTTACAATAGTTACAAAAAAAAAACAAAATCTGCCATTTTGAATTTAATTTAAAAAAATATGTAACGCTTTAACTAGCTTGAAGTTTTTATTCTGTATTATTTTTTTAAATTAAAATACGCAGTTTTGTTTTATTTATTGCGTATTTTCTTCAACTAGAGACATCTGTTACAAAGTTATCAAGATGGCTGACAGTTTAAAAACAAAATGGAGGATTGGTGTGACTTACAATAAAATATTATTAATATTTCGCATCGTTTCGTGTTATTTACAATCGTTTTTCGATAATTTGTGGCAAACTTTACAATCCTCACACTATGGAATGTGTATCTTATATATATTTTGTACGGAATGCCCAAATGTAAGATTAGTTATGTAGTGTTTTGTACATTTTCAATCGGCCGATATGTTTTTTCTTATATATTAATTCATTACATATAAATTGATCCAAATTTCAAAGTTATAAGTGGATAGACCGAATAAAACTATAATATAAAAATATACATATATGTATATTTTTCTTTATTTAAGACACATTTGATTATACGAAAGAAGGCACTTCTTTAAAATGTTATGATTTTTTTAAGAAATTTTGCCTAAATTTTAATAGGCACTAAGGCATAATTTTTTTTAATTTTAATTCATCGGCCGACAAAAATCTACCACACGCAAATTACAGTGCACTATCTATTATAAAATCCAGTAAAACATTAAAAATTATACGTAAAGTCACTAAAATCAATCTAACTAACACACTAACTATCACTGCAAGCGTGTATTCATCACACGGTTTCATATATAAAACTACGCTATAAATTAAAAACGCTGCCATTTTGAAAACATCTGTACACAAAATGGCGGCCATGATGACAGATGATAAATAATTTTTGTACGTGAGAGCTGTCAGGGCTAGAGGGACGATATTTTCGTCGTGACATCTAATTATAAATAGATATACAATTACTACCACGTATTTCTTAGCGACACGGTTTAAAAGTGAATATGTTAGAACCAAATATATAATAGCCGCCATTTTGATTTCTTGACAGTATAAAATGGCGGATGTGATGACAGAAGTATTACTTTTGTACATAACTGTCATTGTGGGGTTATTTTCGTGTGGTTTGACAATAAATATTATGGCAGGATATACCAGTAGCGTGTAGATCATCGTTGAAAAAATCCTAATAAACGGGACGTTCTTGTCGGGGGCGTCGGCTCTGGGAGCTTTCGTCGCTTTTCTTGAGTTGTGAGCTTACGTTTCATTTGCTCATCGATCAGCTCTTGCATATCCATCTGAAATAAGAGAATATTTTAATTTAAAATAGTACATTTTGATGCTGTCACAATATGGACCTAGTCTTTTTTTTACGATAGGTTCAATATTACTATTAAGTTTGAAGAGGATTGGGAATGCATGCTTATATTGCAACATTAGGGCGATATAATTAATTAGTGTTTTTATGATTTTGATAGTTGACATAAGATTTCATATTCATCTTCTTTCAAACGAAGTCATGTACATAAATGAGGAAAAAATGAGTATACAGCTTACAAAAAAATGAATTTATAACGTGATAGAAGTTTTTTTTAATGAGGGTACATCAACATAAATAAAAATGATCATAAAATTTGCGTGACAAAAACAGTATTTACCAGCGTAATTATCCTAGATACAAAAAATTTGGCAGTTATATATATATATAATTGGGTATATTACGCACCTGCCACTGTTCAAGTTGCTGTCCAAGATCGATCTTCTGGCGTACCGCCTCGTACAGCTGACTGTTGGCCTGCATCAACTCCACCCTGGTCTTAGCCAACGACACCTGCGAAATTATTTAATATCATTATCAATATTAGTATGTATAATTTATATTTAGTTAAAAATACAATCTCATAGAGCATAATAAAAGAAGATATAAACATGCTTTTTTCAGTCATACAAAATACAGTACGATATCGCATTAAATATAACCTACAGGTATATTTAGATCATAAAAGTTTTTTTTATTGAAGCTATATCCTTTTAATACCTTATAGGACTTTTGTTATAAATTTTATCGTTTCTAGCTTAGCAATCATTAATTTATTCTCTACTAGGGACTCACCCTCGCTTCGCTCGGGTTCGCCCCTAGGTACGTTGTAACGGTTAGTGTTAAATACAAATCTTTGAAACTCTCGGCTTTTCTCTACTATAATATGCATGTATTATACATATAAACCTTACTTTTGAATCACTCTATCTTCTAAAAAAACCCATCAAAATCCGTTGCGTAGTTTTAAAGATCTAAGCATACATAGGGGCAGACAGACAGCGGGAAGCGAGTTTGTTTTATACTATATAGTGAATCCATATAGAGTACTGTTTAATTATTTATGTTATACTAGCAGAACCCGCGGCTTCGCTCACACTAAAACTACAAAAAAACTCAAAAAAGATAGGTTTCATACAAAACTTCATTCCCTATTTTACCACCTTATGGGATGAATTTAGAAGAATGCTTAAACACGTATTCAATTGTATTGAAGAACAGTAATACCAAGTTTCAAGTTTTTGTGATCATATTTTTTTGGGTTGTATTACGTGTTTTCCCGTGGGAATGAGATAATCTCCCGCGGTAAAGAGTAGCCTATGTCACTCTCCAGCCCTTTAACTATCTCCATACAAAAAATCACGGCAATCCGTCATCCCGTTTCAACGTGAAAGAAGGACAAACAAACAAACACACTTTCACATTTATAATATTAGTATGGATATTACTTAATGTTTCGTGAAAAGGTGAAGGCAGATATAACTATGCAGCCTATAAGTTATCTCTATGCAAAATATCACATCGATCCATTGCTCTTTTGCTGCGTGAAGGAGACAAAAACTTACACACGTAAACAATTATAATGTTAGCAGGATTGTAAAAATAATTTAATAATAATTAACTATATTCTTCGGACCAATTTTGATCAAAGCAGCCAAGCTAGTCTCAAGCACTATCTATATTAATTTTCAAAGTATTACAAGAAACTAATCGACGTTCCCCTTTTAAACCGATCGACTCAACATGGGGATGTAATACCACTAGCGTTCCAACTCCAGGCTACTACCCAGAATTCTTCACTCACCCAGCTATACTTGAATAACCCAGGATTTGAACCCTGGTCCTATAAACCTGCAATCACATATAACCACTAAACTAAAGGGAGAGGTAGTTAATAAACTAACCTCAACGGCTTTCTTCCTTTCAATGGCCTCGTCTCTCTCTTGCCTGGCCTTGGTCACGGCTTCATCGTGCTGCAAGCTACTATAGTTGACGTCATTGAGTAACTTATCTCTCTCCTCAGCGGCAGCGCGAAGCTCTACCTCTGCGACTGATAGCTGAAAATAATAAGATATTCATAATTTATTAATGACATAATTACTTTTTTTTATTTAGATTTATACGAATATTAGAACACTTTAAATTTTTGTTTAACGCTTGGAATACTTAACAGCAAACATGGTGGTGTCACAAAGGACCAAATGAAACCGAGAAAAATAAGAAAAAACACTTTTATTTAAGATGAGATATTGGTATTAATGTATATAGTAAATACAAGATTTGTACGAAGTCTTAATCAAGTTGTTACTAGTCGTTATTGTGTAACTTCGATGATCGCACATCAATTGGAGAGTCATTGTTTCTACCATGAATTTAATGGAGTATCTCCATTCAAAAGCAGATATTTGACGACACGCTTGGCTGAGTTTGTAGTGACCCTACTTGCTGTGCTAGCGGTCGCGGGTTCGAGTCCCGCTGGGGGCATTCATTTATGTGATGAGCACGAATGTTTGTACTCCAGTCATGAGTTTTTGTTTATATTTATAATATGTATAGGCTTTAATGTTATATATGTGTAGTGTATCAACTATTTGGTATCCATAACACAAGCCTCGTAGCTTACCATGGAACTGGATGGTGCTGTGTTAATGTACCAACATATACTAATTCTTTTTGTGGGATGTTATGCGATATCTTCGCCATTTACGAAACGATTATTTATAATGATTTTAATGAATAGACTATATCTCAAGGGTAGCAATGTACATGTCAAAAGAAATTTTACACATTTAGGGTGGAGTCATTTCCATTATTTTAATCAATAGGTAAGAGAATATTTATAAATCAGGTGAAATTTAAAAAGTTTTATTAAATTGAGTTTTTATATTTTTACCCAGTGAAAGATCTCAATGTGTGTGTGTGATATGTGTGAAAATTAATTTAATATGTAATTAAAATATTTGGAAATTTCCAATTGCAACAAAATTCGTAAAACAGTCTAATTCCAGAACATTAGTACAAAATACTCGTATTTTTTCTTTCTAGTTTAAATGAAAAAATTAATGGGGTAATTATAAAGCTACAAATATGTGATACGTAACTTTCTTCATAAATATCTCAGCGGTATAATTTCATTGATGCACCACACAAGAAATGTAAGAGGTAGTTATTTAAAACATCCATATAAGCTCTCACGATTTCTAACCATATGCATTTCCGCTTTCAGTTGATGGGCAAAAACAATCACCCATGCTTCGATACATATAAATCAACTGTACTTTATCGAATCTGAAATCGTCGTTAACGTTTCCTATAACTTTTTTACTATAATATTGTTCTGTTGTAATTATTGCACTACTGTTATTTATGAGTACATTTATATTATGTATGTGTGTTTGTTACTTCTTCATGTTAAAATGGCTAAAATTATTTGGATGATTATTTTATTCTACTGCGCAAAAAAAACACAAGTGCATTTTCTATTCCAGTCACTGTCATACTTGTTGGGACGACAATTCGACACGACCAGTAACAATTAAGGCGAAAGACCGACAGCATCATGTACTCGCCAAGATGCGAGTAAAACATAGTCAACTTCCCAACTTTGGGCTATTACTGAGTTTATTCACAGATAGACTCAAACTAAATTTGCCTCGAACGAGGACTCGAACCGAATACCTCCGATCTACAGCCGTATTTGCCAGCCACTAGACCACAGAGGCAGTTAACAACTAAAAACATTTCCTTCTTTCACCTTCTTAATGAGGCAATCGATTAAAAGATGAGTACCTGTCGTCATTGAACCATCACTGTACAATCTCTTATTATAATATTCATACCGCATATAGATGTGCATAATGTTAATTATTATGACCAAAAGCAAGTGACCTCCAATACTAAAGTTGCCTTTCAATATTTTAAAATGTACGTAAAGTCGAATCAAGACTTGTTATGTATTGAATATGCATGGTATTTTAAGGTCTTTCAAAGCATCTTGTTTTAAATGGTATTGTACAACTATTATATGCTTATATATAATACTAGCCCGCGGCTCCGCCCGCGTTCAAATGACCAAAAAGTAAAACCAAATTCTTAGATTTTACATATCAGTAAAATCTTACATTGCAGTTTTTGTATTTTTAATCAGAAATGAGATATTTTCCCGCAGTAAAAGTATCCTATATGTTGACCCGGATAACCAACTATTACCATACCAAAGTTCATCAAAATCCCTCCAGTGGTTTTTCTGTGATACGGTAACAGACAGACAGACCGACAAACAGACAGACAGACAAAAATTCTAAAAACTATAGATTCGGCCTCTGTGTCGATAATAATGTTTATTTCAATAAGATTTTCCAAAAAATATTTAATGTACAGATTCGGCTTAGTTACAATTTTATTATACATATGTATCTATAGATTATATGTATGTCTTTGTGATTCCAAAATAACTATCCCATATTAAGTATGGCCTTTTGCTCTAATACTAATTATCGAATAGGGTTTAAAATAAGGCTATAAATAATATATTAATCTTCGGAAACACTGATCGTATGTTAATGGGACTTTCACTTCTATTTTATTTAACATTCCAAGTTATGTGAAATTTATTATAAAAACTCGTAAATTAATATTATCGTCGATTTTTTCGCGTTGTATTTTTTTAATAAAAATCGTTTTTTATAAAAAAAATACAACGAGCTTTTATGCACAGCTTTGTTAGTCGTTTACGTGAATATCTCCTGCCTTGAATGTAAATGACCATGTCTTTGACCTGTGAAGAGTTAAAGCAGTAGCTTCTTAGAATATCCACAACTAGATATTTAAAAAACTATAGTTACTTATACAGCTTAGTACACAAAAAAACTACTGAATGGATTTTAATGAAACTTTACAATATATAGTTCATACATCAGAATAACACACAGGCTACTTTTTATCCCAGAAAAATGTACGGTTCCCGTCGGATAAATTTGTTTATGTTGTATATATATGTAATAATAAAATGCTATGGGAAACCCTGAATAAAAACAATAAAAGTACTTTACCATACAAACGATTAGATTCCCACACATTACCATATAAATGAAAACTAAAACTAGCTTCTCTCATATTTGGATAAGGTCAATTGTTTCACATATTTAGATCATATAGATAGATTAGTATTTTTGTAGGCGGTGTGTGGGATTGTATTACTCACTACTGTGCTAACTATATTTGATGGAAATTACCAAAAATCACATTTCCTAAAAGGATGAACCGAATTTAATAGTCTTTTAATAAGAATATAGATTTTTAGATACAAAATGATTGTTTTTAGGGTTCCGTACTCAAAAGAAAAAGATACCCTCATGTCACATCTTTCTTTTTATCTGTTTGTCAAGACTTTTTCTCAGGAACACGTGAAGGTATCAAGTTAAAATTAATATGAAATACTCTAAATAGTTCTGCAATTTCTTAGAGCTGTCAAAATATCAAACTTGTAAATCAATGAAATCAAAAGATACGGCCGTTTTTGCCGCATAATCTGACACTCACAAGGGAATCAAAACTTGTAGGGTACTTAACGTTGACCAAGAATCATGATTTGACAAGAATCAAAGTCTTATAGCACAAGTAAAATGAATTTTTTTTAGTTACATTACAAAAAAAAACATTTTTTGTGATTATAAACTTAGTTTAATGTTTCCATACTACGGAACTACCTTAGTGCGAGTCACACTCGCACTTGTCCGATTATTTTTGTTATAATAATAAACATCAAGAATCAAAGCTAATTATTATTTAATTGCTATTTACTCGTATTATTAGTAGAATGCAGTTAGAAGATTTTTTTTGTTAGAAGATGAGTGAAGGGACAATTCTAACGATGCAATATCACGTATTACGTTACAGATATTAATTATAAATATAATTTTCAGTTTACGATCATAGACTTTTATGTATTTAATTTGAAAACCAACTAAGAGTCCTTTCTATTTAGTTTACATTCACTGAACTTAATCAAATCTTTATAAGTGATCGCATACGGTTGCATCGTTATGCGTCAAACTGCATCTACCTAACCAATCAATTACACTATGGTTTTAGTTCTAAATTACATTATGCTAACAAGAGGTTTTTGGAGCAGTAATTGTGCACTTAAAACGTAAACCTGTAACGTAGCGTGCTCGTTCGAAAAACCAAGTGAAGCGGGTTCAAATCCCGAGTATCGCAAAATCGATCAAAAACTACTAGATACACAATCCCATGCAAAAGTTCTCTTAAAACTGTTACCAATAGTGACTGGTTAAAATAAATATACAACAATGTAAATTGAACCTTAAATACAATGCTTAAAGTTGTTTTCACAAAAAAATATATTAAAAGCGCAAATATTCAAATGAGCGCTCATTCGGTGAGGACATTTCTTGTCGCTGATTGTGTATATAGTACTTTTTTTTTCAATGTCTCGCACCTATGACATTTTTATGCCCATCATTTCCAACATGATTCCCATTTGCGAATACGCTGTCTGAAAAAACTTCGCAAATCAAAAGACAATGTGGATTCTACCAACCTGCACTTGGTTGTGGACTATGCCCTGATTCCTCGCTTTGAGGGAAGGCCCATGTCCCATTGAGACGTTAAAAAGAGCTGATTAATTTAACATGTAATAAATGTTTATCAATATTGGTATTGCGCTTCAAACATTTACAAAAGTAATATACTATTTTATAAAAACGATCTATCTTTTGCCTTTCTTCATGCAAGTAGCGTTGCAAATACCACTTTGCATAAACAATATAAAGAATATTAAGAAATACATATTATGGTTTTAATGATAAAATAATTGCCTCATCGTGAAGAAACTTATGCTCATGTTGTAAAAGTGTGTAAAAGTTATTTTAGTTTCATCGTAATGTTAGAATTTCGGTATTACTTAATAGTAGTAGTACCTATTTTTTTTACTCTTATTTATTTATATATTTTTTATTCTTATTTAATTTCTGTTGTAAAAATGTATAATAATTAGATTTAGAAGTCATAAAATAAGATATATTTTAAACTTGTTTCTTTGTTTTTTAAGCGAGTATAACTCAACAACATTATCTGACCTGATTTTTCATAGGAATTCAGTTAGTAGTAACTGAACAAAACATACATATATATAAATACATATATGCGTGAACCTAGAAGCGCCATTTAAAATCATTTTCATTGTTAGATTAACACAATAAAAAATAAAAACCGTTGGTTCCCGATCTACTTGTAGTTCACGGCAATAGTATAATTGTTGTACCGTTCACTATTCAATCTAAATTGCATTGACTGTATCAATCAATACATTGGGCTTTCGGCGAAACGTTTTTCTCGCAACATTTATTTTTATTACGTACAATATCTGGTAAATTAAAAAAAATCAGACTCAAATCGCCATACATCAATATATGTAGCACTAGCGGCCCGACCTCGCTTCGCTCAGGTTCGCCTGTAGAAAAACGAAAACTAATCTATCCCACGGGAACCGTCCATTTTTCGGTTTAAAAAGTGTGACAAATTTCATCTAGATCCGTTCAGCCGTTCTGGCATGATTGAGCAACAAACATCCAAACATCTATCCAAACTTTCACATTTATAATATTAGTAAGGTAAGTCTAGTATTTTTTGGCGAATTTTGAATAGGTATCTAAATTACTTTTGGACTAACAAGAAAGTTACGATACTATTTTATATCATCAATCTAACCTCTAATCGGTCCAGTGGTTTTCTCGTGATGCGTTCACAGACAGACACACAGACAGACAGACAAAAATTCAAAAAGCTATAGATCCTGATTCTGTATCGATAATAATGACTATTTTCAATAAGATTTTCTAACAAATATTTAATGTATAGAAGATATAGAAGAAGATGTAACATATCATAATGAAACAACACGAATATAAAAAGCTATATTTTAAATTTATTTTAACATTTATTGATTATATAGGAATTTATGTGTCAGTTAACACAATTTAATTTAACGATTGCAACACATTTCATAACTTTTCAATTTACTCATTTCTTGGTACGAATAATGGTGATTTTAATTTAGTTATCTATACATATAATAAAATTGTAACCAAGCCGAATCTGTACATTAGATATTTTTTGGAACATCTTATTGAAATAAATATTATTATCGATACAGAGGCCGAATCTATAGTTTTTAGAATTTTTGTCTGTCTGTTACCGCATCACAGAAAAACCACTGGAGGGATTTTGTTTAAATTTGGTATGGTGATAGCTGGTTATCCGGATCAACGTATAGGATACTTTTTACCGCGGGAAAATATCTCTGAGAAAAAATACAAAAAAAAATTCAATCAATTTCAAAAACTGCAAAGTAAGAGTTATACTAATATGTAAAACCTAAGAATTTGGTTTTTGGTCATCTGAACGCGGGCGGAGCCGCGGGCAATACTAGTTTCAAAATATTGTTGAATATTAGGTACCTACTTCTATAGATAATAGCGAAATACTACTGACTGGTTAACATCAATTTCTCATGTTAATGGCTTCAAAACGTGCCAATCGAGCACAGATTACTTCGCCATTGTCACGTAGAAATGATTAATCTCTCATCTGAGTTGAAAATTTACAGATAGATTCCTCATGGGGTAGAAGTAGGTCCATCCATCAATAAATGATTTTTTGGATATTTACCTTCTAAAGGGGTATGAAGGGGTTGGAATTATATGATAGGCGAAAAATATGTTGATTTTATTAATCTCATAGTTAGGGGCTAACAATTTTATACATTTTTTTATATACTTAGAACACTTGACAATAGACGGTTAGTTTTTTAATGACAGTATATTGTAATATTCTCATACATTAAAGTTAATGTGAGTAAATATCTACATATATATAAATTAGTACCTTTTCTCTGTCTGTTTGTCAACCTATTTCCTTTTTTTTGTTTAATAGCCATTGACGAGCTTTAGTGTTATTAATAAAAAAACTACACTTTTTTATATAGATAGTTATATTCTATTTATATATGTTTTCCTCGTTTTCAATACAGATTATTATCGAATTTCGACAATTGTGCGAAAACTTGTATGAACAAAAGTCGACAGTATGTAGTGCGTGTTTAGTATAGCTATAACAATAAAACAATGCGCAAGCATTTGTTACGAGCCTAGGAAAACATAGCTTTGCTATGAGCATTACATTAAATGGATTAATCTACAGCCCTATTTACCTCAATCTCCTCTGACATAAATATTATTTAATTTAAATGAAAATATACTAATTCTTATACTACAATACTATCTGCTGTAATACGATCTATGTAGTTTATTTGAATGATCATTATTAATTACTAATTGTTTCATTCTTTAGAGTTGGAAATATTTTAACGATTTACGTATTGAAATTTTAGACATGATTGTTTGTCACATTTTAACTTTAATTAATAATTTATTAAATTTATAAAGATTCGTCATACGCCATTTTGTGGTAGTTTTATCTACTAGTACTAAGTACACAAAGAAATATTTAACTACCTAAGGAGTAACTCCTCTGTATTTTTTTAAAGGCTCAATAATTAAAAAGTAAGGGTTTTTCAAACAAATTATGGCCGTTAATAGACTCCTCACTAATACATTTTAATTAATTATCTTCATATTCTATCATAATGCTATACGTATTTGTATGTTAAAAAATATATAATTAAAAAAAAATCATAATTAACTTATAAAACGTACCTTCGACGATAAATCAGCGATAATTTCGTTCTTCTCGTCAATCTGCCTCTCCCTCTCCAAAGCTCTACGTGCATGCGCGGCTATCGAATCCCGGACCCTTGACCCCTCGAGCGTGGCGTACGCGGCCACTGCGTCTGCGCATGCGGCGGCTAGCGCGCCACGACGTAGAGTTTCCCCCTCGTCCCCATCGAGAGATGATATTGAGAGGTCAGAGTGGAGGCCTGTAAAGGAAAAATGGTTGTTGTAAGGTTTTTAAATCTAATACTCTTATGATTAAGCTGTCATCGATATGTACCTACAGCTGTAGATTGAAAGGTACCATGATTTCAGTTCCTATTCTAAATAGTTACTAAGTTTTTCTGTTAAACACACCAGAATGTGAGTATTAGTGACAAATCTATATCCAATTATATATTATATGGGATTCAATTTTTTTAACGACTGGAGGTATAAATATTGTATTATCAAATCCTTCTAATGTAGCAAGATTAATTTATAAGTTAGCAAAAATTGTAACAAATGCAAGTAATACATAATATTGTACGGGTATACCTAAATACAATTTGTTGTTAAATATTTATAAAATATAATTAAGATACCATTATAAACGTAACAGAGCGTTATAGTCGCAGATTAAGCGACAAAGCTCTTTAAACGGAGATTAAAAAAACGTCAGAAACCAAAAATCATAATAAATCAGCAAAAAACAAGACAAAACATCGTTTTATTTAAAATGTCAAAATTCTCGAAGTTTTAAATCATAATCAAACCGGTCTGTAAGAAATTATCGTTGAAGTAGAAAGCGCATGTCGAACGTAGGACATCCTTACCTCCTCCCTTTAAAGTCGGCTAAATCATGTAAAAACTGTTAAATAAAAATGTCTATATTAAAAAAAACGTATTAAAAAAAATGTGTAGGTACGTTAAAGTGTGCCATGGCCTTATTGGTCCACCACAGCCTTGCGCGTCTACGGTTACAAAGGATGTGGCTTCTGGACGATATTCGATACAAGAATAGGTTATATATTAGTAATTCGAAAGTAAACGTGGTTTATGAAAATAGGGATTTCCCTGTGCTTTCACCTCCTGTGTTCGACTTGTGTTTTCTTTAGCGGATTTTTGGTACAAAGTGCACCAAAGTGAGGGTCAGTTTGGGAGTAGACGTTTTAGGCGATATTTAGACTATATCTTCGTAAAATATAAGCAGATTTTTACAATATTGTCTATATTGTTGTAATGATATGAATAGTTTATGACGTCAATCGTTTTGTTGAAAAATTTAAAGGATTTTTTTTAATTATGTTTATATTACAATTACTTATGAAAACTGGCCATGTTTTAATACACCAAACATGAAATCAAGTATTGCTATTTATAACTTTCTGCATTCTTAAAAACTTCTACTTCACTTCTCTTCTCAGGCTTCTCAAAACAGAAGAATATTCTTTTGATAACACATCCAAAAGCTTGTTTTTATGCCATTTTATGATACGTAATGAAAGTTTACTTCAACTATCCTTGGTTTAAGCTTTTGCAATACTTTCGAACATCACTTTACTTTCTAGTCCATTTCCCATGTTCGAGTGGTGAAGCGACTTTAGTATTTTCGAAAGATATAATCTTGTAAGGCGAGCAAATAATACAATGCAAACGTGCAAATACATATATTACGACACGTTACTCAATGTCTTTGTTTCGCGTATATCATTACAAAATCGTATGCAAAGTTCAATCTGACAGCGTGATGGTACAATACATTATTTTTAAGTAGTAATTAAAATGCCGCCCTGGTTTTGTCGTTAGAAATAAAGTCACATAAATATATGATATTCACATCATATTCAAATTAATATTTTACAGTTACAGATAAACATATCCGGAAAAATTTAACATAATTTACCAAGTATGTATAAAGTCTATGCCATTCTAGAATGTGTAGAAGCTAATTTGTCTAAGCACTACACAAATCAAACTATCTATATAAATTCAGATAGTCAAGCTGCACTACTAGCGCTGGACTCAAACATAGTCTCATCAAAGTTAGTGGAGCAGTGCATGGACCGACTAAACCTCTTAGCAAGAAGTAACAAAGTAGTGTTAAGATGGGTACCGGGTCATGCAGGTGTAATTGGCAACGAGTGTGCCGATAAGCTCGCTAGAGGGGGAGCTCTTGGCATACAGCAGGGCCCTGAGCCCTTCTGTGGGATACCTAAGAGCCTAGTTCAAAGAACCCTAATGATAGCATGTCTTAAGACTGCGAACAAGACCTGGACTGAATCAAATGGAATGAATCACTCCAAGGCATTAATTAGAGCCTACGACAAAAGGTTAACAATCTTATGCTAGGGCTAAACAGAAAAACCTTACGAATACTGGTAAGGGCCTTTACTGGACACTGCTGCTTAAATAAGCACATGTTCAACCTGGGGCTGAGCGAAACGCGAACCTGCAGAATTTGCAGGGAGGCAGACGAAACGCCACTGCATCTTCTGTGGGAATGTGGACCGCTCATGCACAAACGTAGTATTCATCTAGGTAAACAATTTCCAAGCCTAGATGAAATAAAAGAGTGCAACCCTAAGAAAATCCTGCAGTTCTTAAGATCAGCAGGGTTTAGTGGTTCACTCTAGTACAAAATAGCGGCGATCACAATAGACCAGAAATGGTCGCAGTGATATAAAAAAGCCGCCAAACAGAAATAAAAAATAAAAATAAAAAAAAAGTATGTATAAGTAATCCAGATCTCATTCAGATTCAGATCTCGACACATTTGGCTCAGTTTGTAGTTACCCTACTTGCTGTGCCAACTACCAGCGGTCGCGGTTTCGCGCCCCGCTTGGGGCATTCATTTGAGTGATGAGCACGAATGTTTGTACTCCAGTCATGGGTGTTTATATTTATAATATGTATGTATTTAAGGTATATATGTGTAGTGTATCAACTATCTGGTATCCATAACACAAGCTACGAGAGCTTACCATGGAACTAGATGGTGCTGTGTGTTATGTCCTAACATATTTATATTTATTTATTTAATATACCTATTATAATGGAGCCAAGTGGAGGTATTTTAAAGACAAATGACTACGAGTAATATTTTATTTTTGGTCTGATTTCATTCATTTTGACGAGACCTATTAGAGTTGAAAAAAGCTGTCATTTTAAGATTACAACTACTATATACATATAATATACTTATTGGTAGTAGGTATATTATTAACTAGACGGTAGTGGAGAACCCACTTCAGGGTTATAATGAATTCATAAGCTAAACTACGATTTTAGCATAATATAATCCATTGCAAAATTCTTAGAGAAGTCCTTAAGAAAATGATGACGATGAAATATTTAATAGGTTTTTTATTTTTTTCTAATATATGTATATAGATACGAGTAGTTAATTTCTATTCATTTAAGTATGTTTTCTTAAAATTTTCAATATAATTTTGTTGATTGACGAATTTCGACCACTGAAAAATAAATATTTTAACGCAATAAGTATACCAACAACAAAATATTACTAATCCGTAATTACTAAGTATTTTATACTTTTTACATCATTTTGTAACTCAGATTTGCTTCATTAGCATTTGCAATTAAATTGTAGTATAACAGAAATGTCGTACACACGTTTTTACGAGACGGTTAAGTAAAGCCAGTTAGTCGTTACGTTAACTGTGTTTATTATGAAAGAGATTATGTACTGCCTTAAAACGGTCTGGTTTAGATTGCGATGATAAACTGGAGTCGCTGACGACTAAACTTAATTTTTAAACATGTTTGTATGGAAACAAGTTTCTTCTCACGACTTTACTTAAATTTTAATATTAACTTAAATAATTATTGTAAATACGAAAGTTTGTGTGTTTGTTACTCTTTCACGCTGTAACGGCTGAACGGATTTCATTGAAATTTAGAACATATGTATATAGATTATGACTAGGAACAGTCACTAACATATACTGATAGTACATAATAGATTTGCAACTGTGCCCAAACAGCACTCCTAGAAGCCACTGAATAATAGAATCGAATTAAGTAAAAGCCAAATCTAAGCCACTAAAAAAAAACGCCATAAGTTGTCGCTGCTTGTACATGAGATATATGTAATTCTAAAAAGCATTATCTATGCATATATATATATATATATATATATATATATATATAAAAGACGGAGGAGGATTTAGTTACCTTTTTCTGTTATGAAACCTTATTATTGTTTAAAGTCACTATGTTCTTTAATTTACTTTTTATTGCTTTTAAAGTTATTTTGAACTTAGAGCAGAGATTTAGTCTCGAGCGGGGTCGAGACGCCATCACGACATTCATTCTTTGGAGATACGTGGCTTAGTAACGTTGGTTAATCATGGTATAGAGTGTTATGTTTGATATTGTAGTTGGAAGTCGATGATCGGTGACTGTGAACCCGCTAGCTCTAAATCATTAGAATTACCGTTTCAAGTTAATAACATTGTGACTTCCCTGATTAAATTGTGTATTGAGCATTGAATACTTTATTATTTGAGCCCTGATAACGCCCACAAGATGAGTAACCACTAAAGATGATGTTCGTAGTATATGGATAACACGACATATATATATAAATGAATCCCTATTTCCCTTGGTCACGCCATCACGCGTGAACGGCTGGACCGATTTAACTTTTTTTTTGTTGTGTTTGTTATTGTCAGAAGGGTCTTATGAAAGAAAAAAATTAAAAAATTGCGCGGAAAATTATAAAATTTAAGAATACTTAAGAACCATATTAAAATTTATATGGCTAACGCTGGGTAATAACTATCGGTATTATAAATGAAAAAAGCATTCTAGGAAGTAAAAGTGAGGGTAGTATAATATTAATTAGTAACATCGATTAAAAAAATACTAGATACACAATCCCATGCAAAAGTTCTTTTAAAACTTTCACCAATTGTGTTTAGGTAATTCCAGTTGAAATAAATATACGAAAATGTAAATTGAACCTTGACTGCAACGCTTAAAATTGTTTTCACAAAAAAAGCGCGCTCAAATGTTCAAATGAGCGCTCATTCGGTGAGGACACTTCTTAATTAGTGCGCACAAAAGATTGCATGAACACAAGAGCTAAATAGAAAAAAATGTTTTTTTTTTTAATATTGATACTGTTTACTTGCAGTTAACATAAATTCTCATATAAAAAAGCAAAATAACATTATGAGTGTGCGATACGGCGACCGGCGACGACCGCTGAATGAGAAATTGCTTTTAATATTTATATATGTACCGTACAACTACATATTTATGAAAGTTCTTACATGAATATTGCGTAATTTATTATAGTATTAAAAACGTCAAATATTTTATTCGCAAGAAATTAAAAAAATCTATAAAACGTAGGATTCTTTGCAGTAGGTAGGTTACAGTTAAAGTCTAAAATTTCAGTGCTGTGCCGTGAGAACCTAGTCTAGAACACATACAGGTCTTATCCTATTATATCATACTTTACTTACTACATATTCCCTCCACGACCGCGGAGACGCCGGCGTTACAGTTAACAATAGATTTCTTAAAAAATTAATTAATTTCTTAGAAATTTACCTGGAGGTAATAATTTATACGATTGTACTTTTAATTTCAACAAATTTACAATACCATACAATCAGGCCAAAAAAAATATACATACAGACGTATCGTAGAATTCGTAGAACCTCCTCCTTTTTGAAAGTCGGTTAAAAATATGTCGTCAAGGATATTGATTGCTCTGTGTTAAATAATGCTTCACGCAAAAACGGGGGATTAAACTCTAGTCTGGTTCATTCTACAATCTTTGTAGAATAGAAATTAAAAAATAATAATACGGGAATGACATATATGTGTATGATTCTATGACGATTCAATTTGTCATTTAAATACAATATTTAAAATATCTATTTTACAACACTTTCTTAGATTTACAAGAATATTTGATATTTTATACAAAATAATATTTTTGGACGTTTTTGCAGATTTATTTTGATTTTTGGTTCACGACGTTTCTAATGCTTTATAGCAATCATGGTCACGGGTGAGACTAATGTTTCTCAATTCTACTACGATTGTAAAATGACATCTCGTCCTACGGTCAGACTTTAATTGAAGTGTAGATTTTGTTCATAAACAAACTTAAAAACAATTTTTGTTACTAGTAATCTTATAACTCTTGCATTTGAAAGGCAACTCATTCCTCAAGCATAAAAGAACACTAAAGTAGTATTTATCCACCCAGAGACGATGCTACGCTTTTATTAGAATTGGTCACACATGCATGTAGGTTATATGCCTAAATGCATTTCCTAACACGAAAAAACGGAGTTGGTCATTACAGCCCTAAATAGCCCGATAATGAAATAAAAAAGCAGATGAAGTCATAGTGATTAAGTAGTATAAAGGAACAAAGGCATTTCAACACGAGTTTGGAAGGCTAAGCCGCGGTCGTGACGGCCGTGCCAGCCGCAGTAACGGTCGTCATGACATCACGTTAAGTTTTGGTGAAAACGTGGCGTGTGGCGAAACAAAATATGAACGATCAAAATAATTTCATGTATTGTCGTGATTGTATAGACATTTTAAAGAGAACAGAGGTTTTTGTAAACGTTTAGAGGTTATTGAAGCGCTGACATTTTTGTCGGATGTTCTTGTAATATTTAGATTATACTAACGACTTATTTATTAAGACCGGGGAGGTTCTGTTGGGTTTTAGTGGGTAGTACTAGCTTTTCTAACCAGTGAATTACATAACCAAAAGCTGAAATCAAAAAATGAAGAGCATTTAATTGCTTTAGTACTCTTCTACTGGACTTCTAGGCACGACGATGATACACCGTTATCTTTTCAACTACTAGAATAACCTACCACAATAAAACCAATACCGCTTTTTCCCCACTGAAGATTTCATCTGACTTAGACAAAATGACATTCTACAATTGTCATCACTAAAAAAATTAAAAAATGAAATTGACATATTCGTATTTAAGACTAACTAACTCTGGCTAAGAGCTATTACGAGTATAATCTAGGTCTTTTTTTCTTAAGAACTATTTAGTGTAGTCTACGATGTCTAGGTACGACGATTACTTAGATTTTTATAATAATTACGTCACATTTTTTAAATGTTTATTTTACATGAACATTTGAGTCATAAATACGTCACTAGTGCAATGGGCCGTGATTGTTAGATCATCTCGCTTCGCCCATGCGTCATATAAGTTACAGAATACCAATCCAAAATCACAGAAACCAGTGTTGTTCTGTAAGATTTTTTATGTAAGTCGACAAATGAATCCGCGTACAAACTTCATACGATTTAGGTACTTTACGTGTTCACATGTTACATGTTTAAGTTTTCACGTTTTCAGCTGTCTAAATAAACACTGTTAAAATGTTCTTACAGAATAGCACTGCGTCTTTCGTACAACAATAGAAATGAGAATAGGTACAACTCGCATTTCGATACTAAGGGATTTTTTTTTATAGAATAACTTTGCTCATCACGAATTCGATGTGTAGAGAAATAGCAAAAAGTAAAAACTGTAAAATTCTACACTTTATACTATGTAATTATACTATGAGTAATGTAAAGCATTGTACTTTATCAGGAAGCGGAAAGTATTCAGCTATTCGGTTAGTGTTAGGTCATTTAATGGTACGGTCGAGGGCAATGTAACTACAGTTATTGTCTCCTTTAACGAAACACGTTTAAACCCATATTGCTCAAAATTAGCTTGGTGGGTACCTAAAATATTTTCCTAAATACAAACAAGTATTATCGATTTATTATAATAAATAATGAGATTGATTATGAGATTTTAATAATAAGTTTATTTCACAAAACGAAAATTAGAAATATAAAAAGGTAAACAGGGATGAAGATTTTTTTGTACAAGAAAACCGTTATATTTTAAAAATTTAGCTTCAACCTATCTATTTTTAACTATCAATTTTCACATAATATAACTTTTGTAAAGTTTTACTTTTGCAGTATTTTTGATAATAAATTAAAATATTTACTTTTTTAATACCTTTTTAAATTTACGCGAATATTTGACATTTTTAAATAAAACTATATTTTGTTTTCGCGGATTTATTTCGATTTTCGTTCCCGACAAAAAAATCCGAAAAGATAGTATTATTTAAAAAAATCAGAATACATCAGTAATGGAAGAAGGAAAGAGTGTAATTAGAGAATATTTCATGCTTGTGAATAAAAAAGTATTGATTCGATCGCGTGATGAATAAAGAAATCAGTAAAATGTCCTTAAAACTTTACAAATAAAGGACATAATTGTGTAAAAGTTTAAGGCTGCTTTTCTACACGTTAACAACAGCGTCACTTATATAATATGGATGAAAACACATTTTTAAGGTATACTTTTTATTCAAAGTTAGAAGACTTTTCTTCTACCTTTGAAAAAATGTACTGTTTTAGAGTAAAATATTTCGCATTGTCCGTCTGCCTATTAGTAACTAATTATTATAATACGTTCGCTTATTTCGATATTTTTTTCTAATAATCATTTGTTTTATCTATTTAATACTGCAATGTCTACAAGCGTCTGTAGTGAATACAAGCTCGATAAATCATTTAAAATAAAAATAAATCAAAGTAAAATTTGCGTAAAACAAAAATGGATTGATTTTCTTTAATAAAACGAAGGAATAAAAAAATCGTGATTTTTATAATTTTCCTAAATAAAGAGCTTATTTTGCGAACCGATTATACCTTAACGGATATAAACACACAGACAGACAGACTTTTTATAATGGTTTTTAGTAATTTTGAATTGAAAGACAGTTTTATTCAGCGAAGATTTAAATTATTTACAACCAAACATTTCAATGTCATTTATCGATGCTTAGACCGAAATAAGACAAAATTAGGATGCTTTCGTAACTAATTGGAGTTTCTCGTTAATTAAATGTCAAGGAAGTTGTCAAAATGAAACACAAATGAAATAAAACTTTCTATTATTTTCGTAAATCCGTTGACTCTTAAATAAAGCTGTCTCTATATTCTTTACGGTAAAATACTGCATTAGATGATTAGGCACGTATCTTTAACCGACTTTAAAAACAGGGGATACCTACTCAATTCTTATATATGTTAGGTTGTGTGTATGTTACGCGATGTCTCGAATATGAAATTGATTTTCATCATTATTTTATCACTAAAAAGTACATTTATCAATTACATTGCTATTCATATATTTTGACGAGTCTTGTAATACTATACGTGTAAACAGACCGACAGAAACTTTATATAATATTTTTATTACAGATACTATAATATTATGTTACCACAAATTTCTATCCAAATAAAAGATTGTATTTATACACTAGCGGCTCACCCTCGCTTCGCTCGGGTTCGTTGCTCGGTACGTTTTAAATAGATATAAATTGTTATTAGCTAGCGTTAACTTTTTTTTCGTAAATTTTTAATTTTTTCTCTTTATTAAAACCTTCAGTGGACCTTTAGGAACATACGAAAAAAAAATTAGTCGAATTGGTCCAGTCATTCGTGAGTTATCAGCTTACCAATATTCATTTTTATTTATATAAGATTTAGATTGTAGGTACTTAGGCGAGACAGTGATTTGGCTCAATTTCATATTGTGACAAGAAGAGAAACGTCAACTTTTACTATAATATGCATATTGGTCTCAAAGTAAGAAACTTAATTGTTATTATTTATTTCGTTTGGACGCTAATAGCTCTTTAATTTTAAAACTCATCGGATTTTTATCTACCAATAATTAATGATATGAAATTTTGGTTTTTTTTTTTGAGGTATAATAAACAAAATTCGCCTTTTTTTATTTTTCAATAAACGTAGATTTATATACCAGGCTTGTGGATTTATCTATTTCGGTACATTTTTGACTGATGGTCTGAAAAGGAGGAGTCCTATTCAAAACAACCTTTTTTTGAGCTTTTAATTTAAGCCATTTGATATTTTCTTTAAAGTTTTAAAGTTTACAAAAAACAATTAATCAATTCACATCATAAAACGCATCAAATATAATTAATTTGCCCAAATCTATGTGTAAAAATAGTTTGTAATATTTCGACAAACATACATACATACATACTTACAAACACAAATTACTCTTCCTTACTCACTGTCGGGTAAAACCATAATAAATTTAACCAGACTAACCTGAATCATCATCATGCCCGGTATTGAGTTGCAAAGCGAGGGATCGTAGCTGCTTGAAGACCTGGACAGCTTCACTCCTCAACCAGTTCTCGTCTTCTTCTGGCTCTGCCTCCATCTCTGCGTGTAGGGACCGAGCTGTGTCTGTCGTTTCTACTGGGTCCACCCCAACTCGCTCAGCTAACGTGTCATGCGATCTTTGCAGACGTTCTAGTTCTTTTAGGGTGTTTTGATACAGATGTTCCTAGAAATAAGTATTTAATTTAGATATACATATACTTAGGTACTACGAATTATTATATTTAATCTATAGATACATATAATAAAATTCTAACTGAGTCGAATCTGTACATTAAATATTTCTTGGCAAATCTTATTGAAATAGTCAATATTATGGATACAGAGGCCGAATCTATAGTTTTTAGAATTTTCGTCTGTCTGTCTGGGAACGCATCATGAGAAAACTACTGGGCCGATTTTGATGAAATTTGGTATGATGGTAGCTGGTTATCCGGGTCAACATATAGGATACTTTTTACTGCCGGAAAATATGTCATCTCTGAGAAATCTATACCTACTAAACGTTAAAACGTAACAAAGGGTGAACCCAAACGGATCGAGGGTGAGTCGTTATTGCCTTATATAAAAATATTACCAAAAATATTCTGAAATCTAGACATACAGAAAAATAGTATTGATTGGACCAGTGATTTTAGGGTAAATACACTTGGCATTGGACGCACTGCAGATGAACGTTGTATTTCATTATATAAAATGTAATGTAAGAGATAGTACTGAAATATCTGAAAAGTCTATAAAATGGAAAACCGTTATAATTTATAAAATTATTTAAAATTTACTTTTATATAACTTCACAATACTTTCTTAGATTGACGCGAATATTTTACACGACAGACTCTCGCGCGACCATGATTGCTGTAAAGCATTCAAATGTGGGGAAACTAAAAATCCAAATAAATCCGCGAAAAAATTCAAAAAGAGTTTTATTTAAAATACTAGTTCACGTAGAAAAATCAATAAGAGTTGGGTCAATAAACTGTGGGAAATATAGAATAATGTGTAGTAAAGTGCTGTATACATCGTTACAATGTAAATATGCTTTCCGTTCCATTTTACCTTATTGTTAAACATTATTGATTTGAGGCAAACTTTCTAAATCTAACACGAACAGTGCATTATTTTAAAGCTATATTATAATAAAACTTATATATAGCTTAGAAAAAATATCCTACTAATATTATAAATGTGAAAGTTTGTGAGGGAGGATGGATGGATGTTTGTTACTCTTCACGTCATAACGGCTTAACGGATTTGGATGAAATTTAGCACAAGAGATAGATTATAGTCTGAAATAGCATATAGGTTACTTTCTATCCCGAAAAAATAAAGGTTCCCCTGGGATAATTTGTTTTTGTCTAGGGATGAACTCGAAGCATAGCGAGGGTGCGTCTCTAGTTTATTTATATTCATACTTTGAAAGAATTATATCTTTATACTCTCCTTAACACTTTTGGAAATTGCAGAGCGAACGTTTAAGCTCTAACTAAATTATCTTTTATTATAACGTTATTTACATTTTAGGCTAAAATATTTCTGAGGAATTCCTCTAATTCATTCAATTGTAAAAATCGTCCCAATATTAAAATTTATAATGACAAAAAAATAGTGCGCAAACAGACATACACAAATAGTTTTTTTTTCATATTATTTTAATAAAGTGGTTGCTCTACAATACTGTCTAATACTCTAAATAAACTCACCTGTTCTTTCAATTGCCTTTCCAAAGCCGCGATCCTGTCGTTGGCCTCCTCTAACTGTTGGTGGAGGTTGTCTTTATCACGTAGGGAAGAGGTGAGTCTTCTTTCGAGGTCAGACCTCTTATCACTCATTAGCGCTAGTTCTGCTTTCAGTGATTCCAGGCTTTGGACATGATCCTAGAACAAAGGTAGATTAGATTTATTTAGATATTTTTGTACGTAATGAACAAACATTTAAATTTCTTTTCATGCTTTTCCATTAGGTATGTTTAAATGCTTAAATTATTATGTATACGAAAGTTTGTATGTATGCATGTTAATCAAACTAAAATAATTAGTCGGATTTGAATGTTTAGTATATAGATGGATATGACTTAGATAACAGACTAACACACAGGCTGTTTGGCAACTACACACTATTTAAACAATGAAATTGAGCTACATCTCTCATCTCATACTTTAACACATCACAATGATTACGTCTCTATGAAACGTCTAAAATAATACAAGATAACCAGTCTTTTCATTTGGGCTTTAAATACAAAAGTGGCTCACTTGAAAAACAAATGTTCACGGATTTAGTTGTCGAGATACACAATAGTAGAATAGCACTAGGTACTCGCAATCATAAAACAAGTCATACACTTATGTAAATGAAACGGTGGCGTTAGAATGTACCTGTAAATCAGTTTTCCTTATAGAACATTGGTCTTTGAGTCCCTCCAGCTGCGCTAAAAGCTGCGCCTCCGTAGCAGACGACTCCTTTAGCTGGATTGTGAGGCGGGAGTTCTGTGCTGTTAACTCAGCTATCAGGCTGGCTTTCTCTTCATCTCGCTAAAACAAACATATCAAGGTTAACTGATAGCATGTATAATGTACTAGCAAGCCTAATAGTAAGTATTAACAAGTATAATATTAATATAGATATGTAGGCGCGTGGTCGAAATTCTCTCAAACTCTTTTCATAGTTTAGACAAAACATTCAAAAATCGAGAAAGAATGACATCACACGCAAGTTATTAAACAATTCAACTATATAGGTAGGTATAGCAACATCATTTTAGCATTTGTGACACATTTAATATTAATTTGTATTTAAATTTAAAGTATGTTTGTTTGTTTGTTTGTTTGTTAATTGTTTGTTTGTTCCTTCTTTCACGTCGAAACGCAGAGACGGATTGGCGTGATTTTTTGTATGGAGATACTTGAAGGGCTGAAGAGTGACATAGGCTACTTTTTACCGCGGCAGATTATCTCATTCCCACGGGAAAGCAGGTTATAAGATGAAGTCGCGGGTTCTGCTAGTATATTAATATTTTATTATTTTATATAAACGATATTGTTCTTTTATAGCTTCTGCTTTTATTAATTTAATTTGCATCAAATACTTGTTATCGAATCGATCGACGATTTCATATTAGAAAGTGCGTTGAATTGATTGTTCATTAAAAATAATATGTTATCTATGTGTGTATATATATATATATATATATATATATATATATATATAATACTTTCTTCGATTTACGCGAATATTTGACATTTTAAATAAAACTATCTTTTCGGATTATTTCGCGGATTTATTTAGATTTTTGGTTCCCGACGTTTCGAATGCTTTACAGCAATTTTTTATTTAAATTTTTTAATCAATATTATAATTAAATATGGAAATATTGTTTATTTAATTTCGCCGTTATTATTATAAATATTACAATTTTTTAAAACTTTATTAATTATTAATATTTTTTAGTGTTGCTATTATTATATTATGTATAACCATAAAGAATATTAAAAAAAAAAAAATAAAAAAAAAAAATTATCTAAGCAATATTATTGTTTTATATATAATTTAAAAGAAGATAAAATATTAATTTAGATTGCTATTATTTAAAGTTAAAACAAGTATGTGTTTGAGACTTCTATAACCCTAGTCTCTCCCGTGACCATGATTGCTGTAAAGCATTCGAAACATCGGGAACCAAAAGACGGGAAGTTAACTAGGTGCGTTTTAACGGTTAGTATGGAATAGAAAGACATATATATTAAATGATTCTACCGATATATGGCGATATATTTTCAAATCGGATTAGTAGTGTAGGTGTGTAACAAACAAATAAACAAACAAACAAACAAACTCTGCCTCTTTATATTTTTAATTATTATGGATTTATTTGTAAAATCTCATTAACTAACCATAAGAACTAACTATAGAGAATTGACTAAATATGTGCAAAATCTTGTTTACAACAAACCCTGGTATGACAAATCACAGATAAAAATAAACACGGAACTTGCGAAAGTGTGTTTTTAATTTTGACCAATTTTAGAAGGTCGAATGGGTAATGTTGAAATCTACACTCGTAATGTTTTATAATAGACAATTTTCTGATAACACACTTCTGTTTGTGTTTGTTTATAAGCGTGAATAATTTTTACATGTGACTGGTTCATCTAGATATTCGATCAAGTGCAAACAGCTTAGCTACGTTTTAAATTCATAATCATATAATATGTATTTATACTTTCACGATTAATAAAATATCTTTTCTAAAAACTTGCTGTTTTTTAATGAAGAGCGTGTCTATATGCCGAAGTAGGATTTTGAAACCTTCGATTTGACTTCTATTAATTGTTGATTAAAACGGAGAAAGTACATAATTCGACAATTGTGACCCGGTTTCCATGATCTATGATATAAAAATACATATAGTATGTACACTAGCGACTCATCCTCGCTCAGCTCGGGTTCGTCCCAAGGTACGTTTTAAAGTTTACTATGGATTTCTCAAAAATGAGATATTTTTCCGCAGTAAAAAGTATCCTATATGTTGATTCGGATAACCAGCTAGCAAATTTCATCAAAATCTGTTCAGTGGTTTTCTCGTGATGCGTTCCCAGACAGACAGACAAACATTCTAAAAACTATGGATTACGCCTCTGTATCGGTAATAATGACTATTTCAATAAGATTTTCCAAAAAATATTTAATATACAGATTCGACTCTGGATTTTATTATATGTATAGATCAGAAGTGGTGTTTCATAAAAAATCCGCCGGTAATACTGGTAAAATTATTTTTGAAGTCATTTTGAAGAAGCTGTAACTTTTTAGTCATTTTCTCAAACCGTTTTTATAGGTATACATATGTACTCGTAAGTGCAAGTTCGTTTGTTTATTATTTTTATATTCATTATTATTATTAGCTTTTTTTTCACGCAGTATCATAATACCGAGAGTTGGTGTAATTATTGACAGTAGGTATACAAAAACGAGGATTTTAATATTTTTTTAATGTATAATCTGTTTTGTTTAAAAGGAATTCAGCATGGTGATAGCAGTATATGGCAAACTGGGGCTAGGGTAGTGTCACTAGTACCTAATACTTAAAAAAGCCAGTGGCATCTTTAACCCAGTTCAAGTACTCATCGCTGACCATGGCAGCTTCCTTGCCTTCCACAAAAAAGCGTAATTGCGAAACATTTCCGCTTTACGCCTATCAAACAAATTGGTCGGTGACAATAGTAATTAGTGGATGCCCAAGGCGATGTGTGACGGGAAGGGCGCAAGGGTATTTATAAGTACTGTATCCCTCCTTATTATCTTCACTAGGTCACCTCGCATATTATAAACTTTTATCGATAGTTTGGTCAGGCGCATACTGTGCACACATTTATTTTTGGCTTGACCTTTATTCTAATTAAGAAATCAACTACAATATAATCTATAGATAAATCTATAGTGTGCGACGCCTCTAATAGTGTAAACCAAAAAGCAATTTAGTTTTATTAATAACTAGCAGAACCCGCGGCTATGCTCGCGCTAAAACTACAAAAAAATCCCTAAAAAGGTAGGTTGCATAGAAACTTTCATCCCATGTTTTACCCCTTTATAGGAAGAATTTCGAAAAACGCTAATACATCTATTTAATTAATTATATTGAAGAGCATTAATACTAAGTTTCAAGCAATTCTGATCATAAATATTTTTTTGGGTTGTATTAAAACGTGTTTTCCCGTGGGAATTAGATAATCTCCCGCGGTAAAAAGTAGCCTATGTCACTCTCAAGCCCTCCAATTATCTCCACACAAAAAATCATGCCAATCTCCCAATCCGTTTCGACGTGAAAGAAGGACAAACAAACAAACAAACAAACAAACAAACAAACACACTTTCACATTTATAATATTAGTGTGGAAGTATGGATGGTCTCGGGTTTGTCTCTAGGTACGTTTTAACGATTTGCATGGAATAGATAGACTATATAATATGTGATAAAATATAGCCTATAGTCTTTCTCAATAAACAGGCTATGTAAAGCAAAAATAATTTTACTAATCGGATTAGTAGTTCCTGAGGTTGGGGCGTTCAAATAAACAAACTCTGCTTCTTTATAATATTAGTATAGACAAAAACGTTTCGTTTTTATCAGTTCGCCATTGCTTCATCGAAAAACTACTGCTATTACGTGCATACAATATAAGAGATGATTAATTGGTCACAGCATCCAATCTCTTTTAGATTACTCAACGAGACATTCCGACACGACCCTTCGAAGCACGAAATAGTAACATCGCCAACTTCCTCTCATAGGCTTCTAAGTTTTATTACGGAAACATCTTTTGGCCCGACTCGGGACTCAAACCAAAGACCTAATGATTCGCATCCACGTAAGCCTTGACCAACAAGTGGTTAATATCGTCTTAACGACATATAAATAAGTATGTACATATTGTATGTATGTATGTACAAAGGTACAGCATAGTTAATTTTCCAGTGTTTACACAAATTAGTAATTAATAATAGGCGTGGTTGGCCTTGGAAAGGTTTCAGGGATATTACTAGTGACTTCAATAAATTTTCATGGAACAGCTTGTTGTAGGACTGACGTCATGGCGACCGTTTATTATTAACGCCCACCACGCCTCACCTTAGAATAATATTTATAAATCGAAATGACTTATCGTTCATTAGAAAGGTCAGAGAAAATTAATGTTATCTGTATTTTAAAATAATAATAAAACTATTTCTTTCGATTTTGTAGCGGTTTTAAGTTGAATTATGGTTATTGATATTTCGAATGCTTTACAGCAAAAAGAGTCAGGGGAGAGACAAAAATCGAAAAGATAGCTTTATTTAAAATGTCATATATTCTCGTAAATCTAAAAAAGTATTAAATTTTAACACATGTGTTATGTATAGTCTAAACGGACTACTGTTATAAACTATTATAAGTGCGTATGTGTGTATGTTTGTTACGCCTCCACGCTTAAACGGCTGGACGGATTTTGATGAAACTTAGTAAACAGATAGACTATGTAACTAGATAAAAACTCGTGCGAAGCGAGGGTAAGTCGCTAGTTCTTGAATGTATAAACCATACATACATATTATTTAAAATGTTAAAACTAGGAGTTTTAGCACTATCATTTAAAACTAATAACTAAGTTGGATTTTATGGCTCATAAAATGTAGTTTACTTGTCGTATAGTTTTTACTACTACTTTGCACTATATTTATTTTTATGGTACATTTTACATACTGTCAATAAACAAAATTACGTTAGCTATGTATCTAATGTCTATTAAGTTAGTATATTATACAAAGTTATACCTTTTATAATCGTTTAATTAAAAATATTAAATATTATATTTTACTTATATTTAAGTAGCGTTTGCTTTAGCTCGGAACTAAATCGGACTACTTTTATAAATGCGATATCGCATTACCTTATTATTATACACAAGCGACTCCCTCTCACTTCACCTTAGACAAAAACAAATCTACCCCACGGGAACCGTACATTTTTCCGGGATAAAAAGTACTTATGTGCTAT